AACTATTGTAATTCCATTTTATCACAAAATTTCTCACAACTTAAAGGCTTGTGCCAAGAAGTTCAATGTAGATCTGGTTTTTAGTTCGGATTATAAGTTGAGTAAGCTCACACCCTTCCACAAAAGTGTAAGGGAATGCGCAAAAACGCGTTGAGAAAAGTTTATTCCGTGTGGTAATGGAGTGGTATATGAAATCCCCCTGGAATGTGGCTTTAAATATGTGGGGCAGACGTCAAGGTGTATAAATGACAGATTGCCTGAACACAAAAGGAATGTCAAAAACAACGTGGCTAATTCGGAAATAGCGAAACATGTTCAAGAATGTAATATTTGTATACCCCACTGGTCTGAAACAGAGATAATACACAGGGAGTTAAACGACATCAAAAGGGTTGTAAAAGAAACAATAAGAATGAAATCAATGGGCAACTGCATTAGTCAGGTGTCGTTACAGCTTAGCAGCAGTGCAAAATCATTCTTGCGGATTTGAAAGTTTTGTAAAGTGCTTGTTGAATGTGAAGGTGTAAGTGGTTTCCTCCTTTGTGTATCACGTGGATTGATATCTTCTGTTACCGGGATGCTTTGTGATTGTGGGTCGGAGAGCAGAGGGGGAGAGTGTACTGTGTACGCGAAGGATTCAGTCAAGTGTCTTCCGGGTGAGGGGAGCTATTGTTTGTTGCTTTGTGGAAAACGTGAAGGTCGTTTGACAATTGTGGTGGAAAGATGTGAGACCTTTGTTATCTTTTGGCTTTCGAGATCGAGAAGGTTCTGTGGTGAAGTTCGTGGAGTGTATATAAGAAGGTGACCAAATAAACTTGTCTTTAGCTGTGTTAGAGACATGTCCTCGACTGTTCATTTTTCTTCTACTTTGAAACTTTCCCCTTTTCCTGCCTCAGTCTCGGGCTAAGAACAAAATGGTTAATGTGGTTGAGTTTGTGCAGTTTTGTTTAATTTAAATATTTTTTTAAAAATACATAATTTTATTCAAAAATAAACATTTTTGTCATTTTATTAAAAAATATATAATTGCTCCCGGGACCTAATATAACTTTTTACTGGTTTCCCTCTAGGTATATAACCTATAAAAATATTTTAAACCGCTCAATTAAACATCTTGCAGTAAAAAAAAAATCCTGAAGTTGCCCAAAAGTGTGTTTTGACGCATAAACAGCCGTTTATTCCACCCTGAGGCGGTCCAAGTAAGAATACAAAATATGGTGGGTTTGGAAGAACGATTGATCGTATTTTGATTTTGAAAGTTTAATCAGAGTAATTTTTGTTTAAAGCGAGAAAACAATTTTTGAAGTTGAACTCTCGCACCACTACCCAGCGTCGCTTCTTAACACCTCTTCGCCGCACAGCTCGTCACCTGCGACGATAGCCGAAGCGATTAGGGCCACAAAGAAACAACGGAGTTTGCTGCCTGCTTCCCCTCGTCCCTCTTTTCTGGCTGTAAGGGAAGAAACGGCGGGTATCGTGTACTAGGTGGAGGTGCCGCAAGTGCGTCGCCATAGCAAGCCCGTTGTGCCCTTTGTACCCGAGGGCGGCTGCTCGCACTCCGAAACGCGATGCCTAATCGACGGGCGGCAGCAGCTGACGTGGACGTCTGAAACACGATAATATCACCGCGAAATCTAGCCGTCACGCATGCTGCGGTGAAAAGCGGAACTATGATCCGGTTCGCGCTTAGTTGGAGCGCAGTGAAGGCTACAGGCGCGTGATCAAAGCTCTGAAATGCGCTGAATCAGTATGTTAACTCGGATGCTTGAAGTATCGTCACAAGCTAAGATTGCGCTTCTAGCATTATTTTCGGTCCATATTGCCAGTGCGGGAATCTTTACATGACCCATTGGAAATTATGACTAAACAAAGGCACATGTCCGCACTATTGACACTGGGTATCAAGACTCATTCCTTGCCTTTTAAGGAACCCGCTTCTGCGCTAGTAAGCTAAGAAAGGGCTGACAAGCGAGAAGTTGGCTTTTGAACGACCATTTGAGATTGGAAATCTGCCGAAGAAAGGACTTCATTTTTCGTCAAGTATGTTGTACGGTGGTGTAACGATGGATGAAGCTCTCAGCACAAGAATAAAAAAAACTTTGCAAACCTCTGTCAACAAAAAAATGATTTCGGCATTTCCGCTGAATGGAATTTTTTCGCAACGTCCCACGGGAAGAGTGCTTGTGACGGAGTCGGGGGTACACTGAAGCGTCTGGCAGCAAGGGTAAGTCTTCAAAGTCCCTTCGAGAACCAAATCATGACCCCCCAGCAGCTGTTTACCTGGGCCAAAAATAACATCGGGGGCATAACAATACTTTGGGTGCCGAAAGAAATGGTTGAAGAAAAACAAGCTCGACTCACTCCAAGATATAGCTCAGTGGTCCCCGTCAAAGGGACAAGAAGTCACCATCACTTTAAGCCTGTGTCACCATCTACGCTATGTGCTGGACTTATGTCCTATTCAGCAACGCAAAAATTTGTCATTTCAAAGTCAATTTGAACACTAACGATGCGTGAGCCTTCAATGGCGCGCATTCGTGAACACCACATCGCCTCGTCGTTCGAGATTGCCCGTTCACGGGTCTTTTGTGCTGCTGTTTACATCTGTCCTGACGTTAAGAAAGAGTGATCGCGTTGTGTATGTAGGAAACAGCTAGCTTACTAATGGATGCTCTGAACCGGCAGCGCTAAGCATCTCCTGACATCAAGACGCTGGAAGATCCCAGGAGGACATCGCCGCGTAAAACGGTCGAAATGGGAAAAGCCATGAAGCAACAAGAGTGAAAAACATCCCCTTTTCACCAAGATGTACCCGACAACAAAGGTCATGCGTGCCTACCTGCGTGGACACACCGTTACACCGTCGCACGCTTCGCCGGGCGCGACGGTGCCGTGCTGTGCAGAGAAGAGGCTCAAGAAACGACACCAGGTTGCGACGTAAAAGCTCAACTTCAAAATGTTTTTTTTTTTTTTTCGTATTTAGAGCAAAATTATTTTAATTAAACTTTCAAGAACAAAAAAGGCAATGAGCTCTTCTGTAAAAGTCACCATGTTTCACATTTTTCTTTCGACCACCTCAAGGCAGAATTGACGGCTCTTTAAACGGCAGAACGAAATTTCGTACAAATTAAGTTGTTTTTTTCTGCAAGATATTTAGTTGTACGGCCCGCAACTTTTTTTATGCAGTATATTCACAGGGTTGCAATAAGAATTTTTAATCACCTGCAGCAACGAGATAGTTTGTAACCAAACTATCAAAAAGGCTAAAATTCTCATATATTACTTTTTTTCTTAAATTGCTTCAAGCGAATATCCATGATCCTTATTATATACAACAATCAAAATACCATGTGGTTTTTAGGAAAAAATAGTCCACTCTTCTATAAAAATATCTTAATTTTCATCAATTAATAAATGACTCCTAGTTTCACTTTTTTTTTACGAGTTCAAACCACCATCACCCCATGAAATTTGTTTCTCGTCAAAAATGTTTTAGAGAAGCACCACAAACATTATGGTCAAGAATTATTAATTTGATTTTAGGAATCGGAGGTCGCCGTGGGACCTTTGGCATGGCATGAAAAAGTCCACGTCAGCTGATGCCGCCCGTCGATTAGGCATCACGTTTCGGAGTGTGAGGAGCTGCCCTCGGGTACAAAGGGCACAACGGGCCTGCTATGGCGACGCACTGGCAGCACCTTCGATTAGTACACGATACCCGCCGTTTCTTCCCTTACAGCCAGAAAAGAGGGACGAGGGGAAGCGGGCAGCAAACTCCGTTGTTTCTTTGGACCTAATCACTTCGGCTATCGTCGCAGGTGGCGTGCTGTGCGGCGAAGAGGCGTTAAGAAGCGACGCCGGGTAGTGGTGCGAGAGTTCAACTTCAAAGATTGTTTTCTCGCTTTAAACAAAAATTACTCTGATTAAACTTTCAGAATCAAAATACGATCAATCGTTCTTCCAAACCCACCATATTTTGTATTTTTACTTGGACCACCTCAGGGTGGAATAAACGGCTGTTTATGCGTCAAATCACACTTTTGGGCAACTTCAGGATTTTTTTTTTTACTGCAAGATGTTTAATTGAGCGGTTTAAAATATTTTTATAGGTTATATACCTAGAGGGAAACCAGTAAAAAGTTATATTAGGTCCCGGGAGCAATTATATATTTTTTAATAAAATGACAAAAATGTTTATTTTTGAATAAAATTATGTATTTTTAAAAAATATTTGAATTAAACAAAACTGCACAAACTCAACCACATTGTAAGCCGACAACCGTGAAAATTTAAGAAAAAAATATTGTTGGGCGTTTCATAAAAAAGCCGATTTTTCGTAAATTATTGAGTGATGCCTAGTTTCACGCTGTTTTCAAAAACTAAAATCGCGCTCAAGTCATTCAAATTTTTTTAGTCAAAACTATTTTAGGGTATGGCTACGGACATTGTGGCCGAAGCCCATGAATTTTTTTTTTAGAAGTCGGAGGTGGTCGAATGCAACGTCTGGGACGTTTCACGTGGAATGACCCGTGTGTAGCATGTCAGATCTTAGCTCCTCACCAAAACTGTCTGTTTTTATAAATTTAACACTCAGTATGGCCCATACTACAATTGGGTGGCTCTATGCAGCAGCTAGGTACATAAAAAATGGCATTAGAAAACAATGTTTTTTGTGTTTTAAGCAAAAAACAAAGGGTGGTTGTTCGAATTGGCCACGGACATGACTCTTCCAGAGATGATACCGAATATCACACCTGCCATAGAGCTCTAAAATAGAACAAGGAAAGGCAGGAAAATGAAGCTATAGTGCTATCACTTTGCTCTAAAGTACAATGCAAGTTTAAATGTTGCATTTACACACATGCTAAACTTTTTAAGATTGTCCTCGAAGCCAAAAACATACATTGTGCAAAACTGCCTATCATGCATTCATATTAACTTTCTCATGAGTTCCTCATGTTTTTATCTCTTATCAGAACAGTGATGGCATAAGAACATACCTTCTCGCACAGTAGGCAAATATGATTATGCTGATCCAGCCAGTCAAAGTGCTAAAAAAGAAAGAAATACAATATTAAACAATGCACACTTTCAAAAGTTATGTTTTCTCAGATAACTTGTTTATGATTGTATGCTATGGACAGTTTAAAAAGGAATAAATTAACTGTGTGCACTAGAGTATTAATACTACTATTCAAACAGCGACCTCATAAACTGCAATGAGCTCTATATGTATAATGAATTAACAGGATACTGAATCGAAACTTAAAATATACCTCTCACGTTCAGGAATAAATTAAACATGATCAACTGAATCTGCTAATGACAATCGCACACTTTTATTTTGAACGGATGGCTATATTTTTCGTTCCCAAAGACCGGTTCCAGCGAGCGCTCGAAGATCAGCCATCGAAGAGCGCGATGTATCACGGGAGCGAACCAATCGACGTCACAGACATGACGTCACTTGGTCCAGCACGGGCAAAGCTGCTTGGGGGCTGGCCCGGTTATGAGCTTCGCCACTTGGTATCGTCAACACTTTACAACCTGGCCGTTTTGGTAGCCCCTCACTGCTCCCCGCAAAAGTTGAATAGGTCGGGAGAGAAGGGAAATTCGGTTCGACAGGGCTCGCGTGCACGCAGCTTGCCGCCATACTTCCGCAGAGTGGCGCTGTTTTCAAGTGCATAGTGACGTGACGACATTTGCTTTATTCCTTTGAAACAATGGTTTGGTGTCTTTTCGAGTAAAACATTGGTATCTCCATGGTGTAGCCAGAACGTGGCTGACATTTAGAAAATAAAATAGGTGCTAGAATTTCCTTGCAGTATCTCTTTAAGGTGCATCTGTCGAACCTGACAACAATGATCTCCAGAGTTGCTCTCAATTTGTGTTAAGTTCATATCATTCCCGCCTAGCTACAATAAATGGGAACTATATATGCTCAGGAGCATTCAGCTGCTACTGCTATATATACCCAGACAGCTCCAACACACTGTGGCAATGGAAAATATTGAGCACACCCACTTGCTGTAGTTTTGGCCTTACAAATTGAGCGAGTCTGCTTTACTTACACCAGAGTGTAGTTGTGCTGCTTGCCAATCACTGGTAAAAGAGGGAACACGCCAAGAGCCAGACAACCAGCCAACCAAGCAACACTCATTCTCTGCATAAAATAGTGAAATGACAGGAAATATCCGCCAGTAAGAAGCCATCAGCCTGCACACTGTCTATAAACTTAAAAAAAAAAAAAGAGCTGATAAGGGCATTGTTTTGACATGGAGACATTCAATTGCATGAACTAGGCATACCCACCAGCTCAAAGAAAAAAAGTCCACTTGCAAACTGTTCAAACAGAATATTGGATTTAACTTTTTCCTGCGACACAACCTATGCTCACAGGCTCCACTGACCAAGGGACATATCAGAAAAATGTACATTGCATCTATCTTATAAAATAGTCTATCATTTAAATGTGCAGTGAAATTTTACCAGTCAAGTTCAACCACCAGAAGAAAAAAAAACCTGTTCAAATTATCTTCGTATTTACTCGAAGGTAATGCGAGTTTCAAAAACAAATTTGATATCCTAAAGTTGGCCCTTGCATTATAATCAAATTACTAAGGTTAACCTCCATGGTGCTGCCATATTTAAATCACTGTGATTTTCTGAGTTCCTGCGGTTTTACGATCCTCCGCTGGCAGCACAAACCAAATTCGGATACTTGAAAGGAGAACAATCGAGTCCAGATCCAAATCCACCAAAAATGAAGCAGTTTGCAGGGTTCTTTTCTTTGTAGCCTAGGGTAACTCAACCAGCTGAGCGGTTTCTGCATAGTAATGCTGTAGCCCCCATCGTGTGGTTTTGTTATAGAACCATGAAATTTGTTCCTGTTGGGAGCGGGTGGAAGTGCAATAGGTTAAGGCCGCTTCAAAAGAAGAGCATCATCTGGGAGAAGGAGAACTCAACCTTTGACAACGATGAATAACAGTCAGATTGTAAGATATACAGTAATCCCTCATTATAACGAAATTCCCTTTTACGAATTATAGCTTTTGTCGAAGTTTAATGAGGTCCCGTCCGAAATGCACGCATTTTCAACCGGATTATTCGAAGTGCATCAGCGGCCGACCACACTTATTACGAAGGCAGAGGTGCCGAAAGCAGGCGACCTACAGGGAGACGCACAGACCCCCTTGTGTTCCCTCCCCCTTCTCCAACGAGGCAAACAACAAACTGGGAAAACGGAGTAAACGGGGAACGGAGGGCAGAGCGCACGTAGTTGGCAGAGTGCTGCTTTTGATGCCTAAGCGCCGACATGGGGACACTGACAGGGAGAGACGGGAGCAGTGTCAACGTTCCAACGCTACTCACGGCGCCCACGGCCGATGCGGCCAGACTTTTGTCAAAATCGGGTCAAGGGAGTGATGGAGCCCGGAGGAGATCATCCCTTCGGAAGCCCCCAACGCACATGCCTGCGCGGACGCGTCTGCGGTATACTACACGCACACGTGCCTCGTATGGAAGATTGGGAGTGTTTACCGAAAGTCGCTTAGATATGCGAGGTTGAGAAAAGTGGCCAGCCCAAGTTCCAGCATTCCAGCATTGGCTGTTTGACACTGTCCACCATTTTGCAGAACAAGCAAAGCATATTGGACGGATTCGAGAAGTTTCTCATGCAGGAAAAAGCATGCCCATGACCCGAAGATGAAAGATCGCTAACTGCTTTGCGCACGTCAGATTTTCTCTCGCGAGCATGCTTGCCGAGCCGGCACACGATTTCCGTAGCTGCAACGATCTCTACAAGAGTGGGCGAAAAAATATGAGCAAAGCCACCGAGGATAACTTTGATTTGTTCACATTTGTCGATGCAGACTTTCCTGTTGTTGCTCCAGCCATGAATGCTGCAATCATAGACCTTGCGTGCGGCCAGGGTAAATACGAAGCGATGTTGGTGAGGCACCTCGGGAAACGCCAACGACTGCGGAGATGCGAAGCATCCTACAGCTGCTTCGAAACAAAGTGGAGTGCAGCGGCGGTGACAGTGTTCTTGCGATGCCTGGAGCAGTTCGAAGAGAAGTGATGCCTGGATGAAATTATCGGCAAACTCCACTTAATTATTTTTTTTACTCGGTGAAGCTGCCGCTTGTTGTTCATAATCGAGGTTTGTTTGATTAAATATACGGTCACTGTGTTCCGCAGTGTTACGGTCCGCCTTGAAGGCTGCTGGCACTGTTTTTATGGCTCTATCACTTTTATTGAATTACTGCTTATATTGAACTTTTTTGCCGTCTTGTTGACTTCGTCATAACAAGGGATTACTGCATATGAAGGTGAGGACACACAGCACAGTAAACTCTATAGCGTGATCGACCAGATAAAGTCCTCTTGTCACGCGCCCGAGTAGCGTGTCCAAACAGGACACTACAAAACCCGCGAATCCGACAAATCGTGAAAATCGAAGCGGACGCTTCTATTTTTACGGTCTGTCGGAGTCGTGAAAATGTTTGCAGGAGTCGTGAAAATTTTTACGATCACGACTGCTCTCCCCTTCAGATTGACGTCACACGCCACCTGCGTCTGTCTCACCTCGCCAACGCCCTCGCGTACCGCCGTCGCCTCGGCTCGAAGGCCAAGGAGGTCCGGCTGGTCCGGCTTTGGGTGGATTTGGGACATTCCTGCGTCGAAGGGTGCGTTTCGCCCGCCTCGGATCTGCTTTCTTTGTCGAGATTCACTTTCGTCGTGATGGCGTCCGATGCGGTTCCGTATTGTGAGCGGAGGCCTTGAGCAATTGACCGACAGCCAACAGAGCGTGTGAGTGGCTCTCCGGACCCACGTGATAAGCAGAGCAAGGCCGCCGTGGAGAAAGCGAGGGGGAGGTTTGACGGAGGGAAGTTTCCCCCCGGGAAGAATTGACGGAGGGAAATTTCCCTCCGACAGCCGGAAGCGGATCGCGGCAGAGCGCGGCACGATTTGCCGGAGTCGCGGGTTTTGTAGTGTCCTGTTTGGACACCCCTTTAGCTAACAGCGCTTCCACTGTACAGATGGTGCAACCAATGTAGAAAATGAAAAGTGTCTCGTTCTTGGGTGCGTGCTCTTTCCGCTTGGAGCGTCTGCTCGACATTGACAAATGCTGGCTTGGACACCGCACCAGAGATCTCTCCGCTTCAAAGTGTTCATAAAACTGTTACTGCCGCCATTGAGGCACGAAGCTAGGGTCAATGACGAAGCAGTCTAAGCAACCTGCGTAGCAGCGCAAGTGTCAAGTTCTACATGATGTGGAGCACCCAGAAAACAACTTCAAAAACAAGCATGTCCCCCATAAAGAAACCGGGCCTGCAACAAGCTGCCATTAGCCGCATATTGAGGAGCCATCTGGTGTTGCCACTTGCAATCAAGACTTTATCCGGAAGCTGTGACGCGCATGCTGTAGACACCTATATATACCTATATCTTGCATCGTGGTGACGGTAAACTGATATCACAAAAAATATGGCAAGTGTTTGGCCACGATTTCCGACAGATAAAGGTACTAATTTATTCTTTTTATATTATTTTCACATTACATTGGTGGTTCTATTTCTTTTTTTTCCGTTGTGCAATATACAAATTTACCCCCTGCATTACAAAGGTGGTTCACACTAGGATCTAGTAAAAAAATACAACACTCACAGATGGACCAAACCACGCCATGTTACATTCAGGTAAAACTATCCAAACCATAATAGTTAACCTTTGATCAGTTAACTCTTTCCCCATACATTTTGACTAGAAAGCATGCAATGCAACAACCAATCCCACGTTCATGATTTAAAATACAGAAAGGAAGATATATATACCTTCGATAACTGTGTGGTGAAGGGCCACAGTCCAATAAATACCAGTCCCAAAGACATCACTCCTCTGTAGAAAAATGTGATGACCTGTTTATCCAAGGAGAGAAGGCATTCTTAAGTTGTATGCAGGAGCACGATTCTTTCTCATTGTCATAAACTTACCAAAAGTTCAAGTCCAAGCACAGCTAGCACTGCGAGAGCTAGGAACCACATCTTCACCTCAAAACGTCTTAGGTAGGCCTTAGCTTCATAGTACACATCCAACCTAGAAGGCAAGCATTATATTTGTTATTCACACAAAGGTGCCATTACCTCCAGTTATAAGAAAGTAAGCAACATCCTGCTTGCTAGCGCAATACTGAGCAAGGGAAGTTATGTTTATCCTCTTAAAAGGCAAATAATATTTATATTAACATAACTTCATGCATGCCAATATGTTGTTTATAGCTTTTCTAGTCTTTCCAGCAATTAAGCATTTGCATAGTAGTAGTTCTTTTCCGATTTTCTCATTGGAGTGACACTCAAACTACTGCAGTACGGTACCTAGAAGATAGCATTTTCAGTCTGATAGCACCATGACAGAATGGCATATGCATTACTCACTCATAGAGAACCATTGTCCACAGCACGATCGGTATTAGGAAGTAGAAGTAGTACATGAATGGTGCATTTTGTACTGTAAAAAACGGGTTTCTGTATTAGGGACAAGTAACTACTGCCCAGTTTCCCTGATGCCAGTACCTTACACAATACTAGAGAATGCTATCTTTAATTGTATAGTTAACTTTTTGAAATCCAAACAATTTTTTTCACCACTCATAGTATGGCTTTCAGAAACTTTTCTCGTGTGAAACACAACTGCTTTTAATTACCAATAATTTCGTGCATTACTTGACCAGAGCCTTGCAAAAGACTGCACAATTTTAAACTTCTCTAGGCGTTCAATAAGGTCAACCATCAGCTCCTTATACAAAAATTAAGGCACCTAAACACTGACTCATTGGTTCTTCACTGAATTCTGGACTTCTTTTGTAACCATACTCAATATGCCACTGCTAACGAAACTGACTTGCCTGATATAAGAATATGCCCTCTTGTACATGAGGGTTCTGCTTAGAGGCTTTTGCTCTTCCCGATTTAACGATTTACCAAATTGTATTTCTCCCCTTTTTCTTTTTGCTGATGACTGTGTCACTTACCAAAAAATAACTGATGAACCTGACACTACCTCTTCAAGGTGACCTTGATAACACTACTGCTTGGTCTGCATTTTTGAAAATGGAACTTGCTATCTTAAATGTAAATCCATGTTGACCTCCTGTGAACAATTATCTTGTCCCAATTATTTTCTTATTTCTTGTCCAATTGATTCCATAATCACATATAAAAATCTTGGTGTGCACATAACAACCTTTCACGGCAACAACACATCAATCACATAATGTTCAATGGTAATCGAAAGCTCGGGTATTAAAAAAGGAACTTTTATCTTGCACCATTATCGTGAAAAAAAAATAGCTGTTCGTTACTTACGCTCGTTCTACTTTAGAATATATATGCCTTAGCCAACTGGGATCCTGGACACATCACACCGATTACTAGATTGGATGCTGTACAGAATCCCTTGGCCCATTTCATTCTAATTATCACTACCGTAATTCCGAGGAGACCCTCCCCCGAAAGATAGCCCACCCCCATTTTTGGCATGATTTACTATTTTTTTCTGAAACACCGAAAGATAGTCAACTTATAGTAATTGCAGAGCCCTGGCCAATGGTGACCTCGGAAAATCAAGCAAATACTGCTGACTGGGAAGAATAGTCATCCTTAGTTCATTATCCCTTCCTGCAATCACAAGTTTCGAGGGTCACAAAATTTAAAACTAGCGTCTTTTCAACTTTTTTATGGCACACCGAAAGTTAGCCCGCCCCTTGTTTTCATCTGATTTGCTATCGGTTTTAGGTGGGCTAACTCTCGGGATGTTACGGTATACTGCTAGCATAACTAACATGAAGACCACTCTTAACCTTCCTTTCTTTACTTACTCTTCCTTTTACTCTTATTCTTTTGTTCTCTCTTACTCGTTCTTTTCAAAAACATGCTTTGACTAAAACCACCTCCCAGCCTCTTTGGTCAGCATCGCCGACAGTTATCGCTTTCATGACGGAGTTTGAAATGTTATAGCATGCGACCCATCAGAAATACATACTAATGTGTCGCGACCGACCCGACCCAACCCCTGACCCCTCCCCCCCCTCCCCCCCCCCCCTGCCTTTTAAATTACAATGCATCAATGTAGTGTTGTGTGAATATTCAAAATTTTGAATAGTACACTACTCGATACTATTCACTTCAAGATGAACTGCAATATTCATATTTTTCAAGTTTTGATTGCAGCGAGTTAGCCTCACTGCGAGCCTCGCCACAAGCATTGGTGCACTGCAGAGAAGCAACACCTGCGGAAGAGAGCTCCGCAGGTGTTGCTTCTCTTCCGCAGTGCACCAGTCCTCAGTAAGAAGTGTACTTAACGGGATAACCCACCGCAATCAACACTTGGAAAAGTATGAATATCGCGATTGCGTGCTTGGGAGAAAAGCACACTGTCAAAGTGGGATGGTGCACAGGCGCACCCAGTGTATTTAAAAAGGAACTGAAACTTCGTGAATGTTGATATCTATATAGCAGTAAAACTTTCAAAATTAAACTGTGGCTGTTATGCAAGAGTATATGCCAGGGAGAGATGCTCTGACAACCTGCATTCATCATCTGTGATACCTTTATTTTTTATTTTTTTTTAATTTGAGAGTAAAGAAAGAATATTTGCATATAGCAAGGTTTGTAAATCCACTCACTTTCAATTGACCATTTTCTAAATCTCCCCACTTGGGGAATCATAAGAGCGGTGTTCCTTCAGTTCCCTAATGATCGGTAATTTTGACCAATTTGATGCTTACACACTTTTGAGTGTAATCCAAAGTCATCCTGAATAAGCATCGTGTAGAGTCCAAAGACCTGTCATATCACTTTCAAAATTTCTCGCCAATGGCAGCGCTTTTGATACTGTGCATGCCATCCACCCTTCAACCTGGCCTGAGCTGCAGAAATCTCTTACAATATCATCATTCTCATACAGTTTCAAATACGCTTATTTTAACTTAGAAACGCTAAAAATGCTATAAACAGCCCCGCTGACTCCGAGCTAGATCCTGGTTTTGGTTGTTGTGAATTCTCGACTTTTAAAGTGATTCCTGCTAAAACAACAATCACGAGAATGATAATATATTATAAGAGATTTCTGGAGCTCAGCCAGGTTGAAAAGTAGATTGCACACACAGTCTCAAAAACGCTGACATTGACGAGAAATTTTAAAAGCGATATGACAGGTCTTTAGACTCTACACGACGCCTAGTCAGGATGATTCCGGATTTGACTCGAAAGTGTGTAAGCATAAAAATGGTAGAAGTTACCGATCACTAGAGAACTGAAGGAACACCGTTCCCATGATTCCTCAAGCGCGTTCAGGGGTGCTTGGGTATTTAGCAAGTGGTCTATTAGGTATAGCTGTGCATCTCTAAAGGTTTCATTTTATGTCAAATCTATCGTTTACGTGCCACCCCAAGAGGAAGGCCAGACATGCCGTTTTGGCCGGGACAGTCCCGCTTTGGAAGTTTGTTTCTACCGTCCCGTCATTTTGCCTGAATATAGCCAAATATCCAGTTTTTGTGGGAACTTGCTTGCAAAATCAGTGCCAGATGAGTAAAAGAAAACAAAATATTATTACTAGTGACAGTGTATTAGAATAAAGAGCATAAGAACATTATCTCCAATAGAGTATAATTTTTTGCTTTTTCTAGCCGACTCCACTTGCCACTAAGTTTCTTTTCTATATTACTATATTTGGCATGCTTAGGTTTTGCAGAATATGTAAGAAAGGTGGTTGTGTACTAACCACTTAATAATAAGCCCCGGAAAAGTGCACGTTTTCATTGTGAACTGAATACAGCCGAACCCCACTCCAACGAACGCCGCGTCAACGAAATTTCCGGTTCAACAAATATTTTTCAATTCCCCGCCAACGGTTCATAGGAGTCAATGCATAAAAATTCTCACTAAAGCGAACATTGTTTGTTGCACCGTTCCACTTTAACGAAACTTTAGACCAATTCGAAGTTCGAAAGTTTAATTTTGCGTAAGGGAAAACAAACTTTAGAGCACTTTGGTGCATTTTGGCACATAAAATATGTCTACTATAAAGTTTAAATCACGTGTTGAACCTCCAGAAACTGCCACTAACAACCGGTATCCAAGCGTAACGTTGATTGGGCGTGCAGGCCGCCATTACTTGATGGCAACGGCGATGAGGCTGGCCGTCCCAGCCTTCTTTTGCTGTTGCACTGATGTTGGTTGTACCCTAGCTCTTAGCTTGATAATCATCTGTTGCAGACTATTCAAAGCCAAAGCTCAAAAGTCTTTTTTGTTTTGTCGGTTGTCCTTTTGTCAGCACAGTACGCAGGCTTTTCGGACATGGCACCGCCAAGCAAAATGCAGAAGTTTTTGTATTCAGAAGATAAAGCTCGCATCCTGGCCGAAGTTGCAAGTGGACAGGAGAAAGCTGACATCGCGAAAAAGTTAGAATTTCTTCAAGTTCTTTGTCGACAATCCTAAAGTCGAAAGATGGAATCGAAAAGGCTCTTGCATCGGGGAGATCGGCCAAGCAAAAAAAACTGACACCGGGGACATCAGCGGAAGCGTCGTGCAGCAGAACGCCTTAAATTTCACTTGCCTGCTGGGAATTGACAACTTCAAAGCTAGCACTGGCTGGCTCAACAGGTTTCTGTACTCTACCAGTTCAGTTATGCCATTTTTTGTGAATTTAACAACGACAAAATTTTCACTACAACAAATTTTTTCTCGTGCACCATGAATTTCATTGTAGCGAGGTTCGACTCTAGTATCAGAGCTTTTTCTTTCTGACCCTCCTTGCCCCCCTCCCCCTTTTCCCTTTCCCTCCCTCTACCCTTCCCATTGATGTTCCAGATGTTTCATTTTCAACCCTGAGGAGTACGGTCACCCACCATCCCAAGGCACTGGTCACAATTCATAAATATAGAAATGAGAGTTACTGCATAGGCGAGCTGGTGAACGAGCATAGTGAAAAAAACCTCGAAACAAGGAACAATAGAAGGGGGACTAACACAATACCGTCTCTAACATTTAGAGACAGTGCTGTGTTTGTTCCCCTTTTTTCGTTCCTTGTCTCAAGGTTTCTTTCACTATGATCATAATTAAATATAGTAAGATTAAAATTAGCTTACAAATGGAGAGGTGCAAGTTTCGGAACAACTTTCATAAGTTTAGCTGGGTTTTCGTTAAAGCATGGTGCAACAGTAGTGAAGGGCTTGAACAAACTATCCTATATTTGATTTAAAAATATTCGGCCAAAACAACTATTCGCTTCGAATTCGCTTCAAACTCAAGAACCACTACTCGCACATGACTAGTTCACCAGTAATACAGAAAATGGATGCTAAAATTTTATTTGAAAAATGTAGACATATTGAATCATCTGGGCTAGGAGCCATTGAAAAAAGAAAACAACCACATGTCAGCAGGAATAATGACTATGGTGAGTATTGTAATCTTAAAGAAATATGTGTTTTGTGTCTATTGTGTGTGTTCAGATATAATTCGGTTGTGAGCTTGCTGTTGCTGACGCGACCGCACGAGCACGAGCAAATAAAGTCTGTGAGACTGGCACGGGTCAGCCAGTCTGCTGCCAGCCTTCGATCTAGGATGTTGGCTGTTTGGTCTTAGCCGCTCGGCCCGATTCGGAGATCTGCCGCCCTATCGTCACCGCAGCCCCGTCTTGCGGTAAATTGACTTGGTACCTCTCGGCGCACCTATTTCGACAATGGGTCGGAATATAACAGTGAGCTTCTTTGTTAGAGCAATTTGTCGAAACAAGGGTGGAGTTCGGATTCATTATAAAACAGCGCATGGAAAAACAGGAACAAAAGAAGACATACGACAGATGAGTGTTCCTCTGTCGTACATGTCTTTTTTTGTCCCTGTTTTTTGCGTGCTCTGTTTCAAGATGAATCAGTACCAACTGGCCCAGTTTTCAATCCACTTCTCCGAAGTTTGGACGTCGCAACTCTTAATTCCGGCTCAATGCTGAACTGCGACCTGTACAGACATGTCTTGGTAATATGGACACCTCCATTTCCACCAAAAATCATCCATAATAATAAGACAAAAATGCACTTACTAAGTTTGTCCATATTAGCGGGGTATCCATATTTAATGGGGTCCATATTAACAAGACACGACTGTATTCTGTTTCCATTGGCCCTATCGCAGAGAAGTCAAATTCACATTTCTTTTCCTAATTTCCCAAATCCAAAATCCCCCCCGTTGAACCTGTTGCGATCCTCCTTGAGGCAGTGACTCATTGTTTGGGAAACCCTGGTATAATGAATTTCATTCTCACCCACATCAATCACATGAATTTTCAAAGTTCTTGTATTTTTGTTTTGCATTCGAAGTCACATGTTCTTGCACATACAATTACTGATATGGTAGTTACTATGAGCCTAAGCACAGTCAGAAACGGGAGAAGCCTTAAGACCCTCCCCTCTCTGATGTTGTATGCCTTGAGGGTACAATAAATAAACATTTACAAAAGGCTTTTTACTCATAATGGCAGGGTCTGTTTCATGCACAATAACAAAAATATAAATGTATTCCTGCTGAAAATGTAATTTTTAGACTCAGCCGTATACTTAAAATGGCCTGGACAAAAATAAATCCAAGCATGCTGAGTGCATCTTACCATATAAAAGTACACTTGACAAGAAGATCACCAAAGTGGAACTGGAGAGTATCTTGATTTTCCCTTGCCACTCTGGTGTCATTTTTTTGGACTGGCTTTCCAGCGACTTGCACATGATGCCAGTGTAATTCCGCAGCAGCAGCAATATGACGAAGGTCATCCAGCCTACGAAGCCTAGTGCCACAGCAATGCTGTAAATTGCAGGAAACAATGGCATGAACACAGTGGTCCCGAAGGTTGCATGTCCCAGGGATCCCGTGGCTCTCATGTTAAGGGGCAGGAAATCTCAGCTCCATATTCAAGGAGAGCAAGAGGACACAGTACGAGTAGACTGCACAAAGACACTGTATGAGAACCAGCTGCTGCCATTCCAAAGGACTGCGAACATCGTCCTTGCATAACTCCGACAGATATGCTTTCAATGTTAGCTCCTGTACCTTTCAAACTTGATGCTACAGTGGAATCTCGTTAATTCAAACTCAAGGATAATTCAAACTAACATGCAGGTCCCGTTTTATGTGTTTCTAGGGAGGAAACTCCCGGTAATTCAAACTTTGCATTATTCAAACAATGTTTTGGTCCCCCTCGGGTTAAATTACCGTAATGAGATTCCACTGTAGTTTGGTGTCCTAAATCATTAAATGACATACAGTAATCCCTCATTATAACGAAATCCTTTTATCGAATTATTGCTTTTATCGAAGTTCAACGTGGTCCCGACCAAAATGCGTGCATTTTGAACCGGATTATTCTAAGTGTATCGGCGGCCGACCATGCTTATTACGAAGGCTGCAGTACCGAAAGCATGCAAGCCTACACAGAGGCGCACGGAGACCTTTGTATTCCCTCCCCCTTCTCCACAGAGGTAAACGTAAAACTGGGAAACGACAACAAGTAAGTGGAACAAACAGGTGACGGAGGGCAGAGTGCCGCTTCCGATGCCGAGGCGCCAACGTGGGCAGGTAGCAGTGGGAGCAGCGTCCAAGTTCCGACGCTACTCATGGCGCCAGCAGCCGGAGCTACCCCGACTCCTGTCAGAATCGGGTCAAGGGGCAGTGGAGCCCGGAGGAGATCATCCCTCCGGGAGCCCCCAATGTGCACGCCTGCACGGGCGTGCCTGCGGCGTACCACACACTACACGCACAGATGCGTCGTATGGGAGTGGGAGCGTTTACCGAAAGTCGCTTAGATCTGTGAGGCTGAGAAAAGTGGCTGGCCGAAATCTAAAATCGCCAAAGGATTCAACGTTCCAGCATCGGCCATTCAACACTGTCCACCATTTTCCAGAACAAGCAAAGCACATTGGACGGATTTGAGAAGTTTCTCATGCAAGAATAGAGAGCCCGCAACCCGAAGATGAAAGATCGCCAACTGCTTAGTGCACGTCGGATTTTCTCTCACAAGCTTGCCAGCGGAGTCGGCGCACGATTCCCAGAGCTGCAAAGGTCTCTACAGGAGTGTGTGAAAACATGTCGGCGAAGCCACCGAGGATAACTCATTCGATTGCGCTAGTCGATCCGGACGTTCCCGTCCGGATCGATGCTGAGGTCGTAAACCTTGCGTGCGGCCAGGGTAAACAACAAGCGACGTCGGAAAGGCACTTTGGGAAATGCTGACGACTGTGGAGACATGAAACATCCTACGGCTGCTTCGAAACGAAGTGGAGTGCAGTGGCGGTGACAGTGTTTTTGCGATTCCTAGAGCAGTTCGAGGAGAACTGATGCCCAGATGAAATTACCGGCACACTCCACTTAATTTTTTTTTTTTTTACTCGGTGAAACTGCTGTTTTTTGTTCATAACCAAGGATTGTTCGATTAAATATGCAGTCAGAGTGTTCCTCAGTGTTCCCGTCCACCTGGAAGGCTGCTGGCGCTGTTTTTTTGGCTCTATTGCATTTTATTGAATTACTGCTTACATCTAATTTTTTTACCGTCCCGTTGACTTCGTCATAACGAGGGATTACTGCACAATACTTGTTTTGACCTCAAGAAAAGGCAAGTTTTGCACATAGTTCATACGCTGTGCGAAGTGGTCCTCACAGGATGTTGAAGGAAGTGACGCTTTTGGCGTTTGAAACATGCATATCTTGATAAGATAACATATATCTACACTAAAGTGCACTCACATATATCTTAATTCTTTACATAAAAGGGAAAATTAGTAAAGCTCCACGAGGAGTGTGACTTTTTTTTACTATGATTAGGTAAAATCGAGTAAATAGTTTGTGCGAGAAAACACCATACCGTGTGAGTATACCATTAAACCAAATAGTGTCGTTACAGAGTTACAATTACAACTGACAAGACAGTGAGAAATTTTGTGCATGAGAAAAAGGGTTCACTTGAAGCGTGCATACCTTAAGGTCAGCCTGTCATATTTTTGGTAATAGGTAAGCCCTTTCAAGGCCAGCTCAATAAACTTTTCAATAACTTGCACCTAGAAAATAAAGTGAGGAATCAGTATGAGACAAGGAAGTGTACAAGTCCCGATGATTGACCTACCGCTTCTTTGTACCTCGACTGTTTCAATAAGGTTTCCATCATCTCAGTAAGCTCCACTTCTCTTTTTGGCATCAGCTCTCTAGCGAGGGAAGAATATGCAGATTATCCCATAACCTGCAGCTGAAACCAAAGCTTGTAATATTGTGTAACATACTCACTTGAACTGGCGAAAGAAAATAGAAAATGTAGTTTCTTGCACATTATGTTCTTGTTGTTTAAACTGTGCCAGAATTTGTCGTGCATTTGTTAGGAGGGCTACGGCCCTGAAATGTGAGTCCCGGTTGAGGTATTCCACAGGCAGCAACCCCTGAAAATGGACACAGTTAAGAACTTCCACCACGTTTATGCCATAACTGAAGCAAGCAAAGGCAAAGAGCTCACAAGGGAGTTGATTGGAATGGCTATGCCCAGGAGCACAGCCATAAGCGGAGCTAGGTCAGCTTGCTTGACATCCACTCTCCTGTACAAGGACAAGTTCCATGCTGGACAATAAAAAGGAGAAATGTGATGACAGAGTAAGGGAACAACAATCACCGCCACTGGAAATGTGACTGTAGAGCCTATGGAGTCAATATAATTACTCAGACACTGACTAACTAGAAGTCAGGTGAAAATCAACTACCTAAACAAGTGTAGTGGGTCAAAATAGTGTGTGCAGCCCAAAATGCTTCGGAATATCCCAATATAATTACCCGAGACCATTAATGGTTACACTGTCGTATCAAGAGTTACCCTTGTTTCCAAGTAATTTTACCATGAATTCAATCAGCTCACATGTCTGTTTAGTACTCTTTCTGTGCTCCAACAATATTCTCAGCCAGAAAACATTGAATGGCTAAGGCATTTAATTCAGCATGCAGGAAAGAATTCAGAAACCACGAATGTAAAAAAGGGTGGAGCTCTTTTGTATCATGTCAAAAGTGGTGTCAACATGTTCTCTGCTTTCACCTTTATTGCTCTTTTTGTAGAGGTGGAACGGAACTTTTAATCAGCATGTTTAAATTTTTCTGTATGGCTTGCAGGGTATTTTAGATTTTTCATTCTCTAAAACTACATTCTCTAAAGTTACCTCACTTCAGTGATATGCAGTTGTAATGTATACACAAGACTACTATGTCACAATGTCAAGAATTCATTCACTCAACCAGTGCCATCAATAACATTAAAAATTTATGATTTTCTAGCTTTGCAACTTGAATTGTTTATAAATTGAGACTATAGACCTACCGTATTTACTCGAGTAATAGCTGCACTATTTATGAACGAGGCCCTTGCGTCTACTTTCCCCACAGAACACATACACAGCCAATCATCGCGTTGTGCGTAAATAACAAAGCGAATAACTGTATCAAGAACACTATACTCCATACAAATGCAATCTTCACAGATGGTATCTTTCCGCAAAGACGTTATTTCTGTCCTGTAAACCGCTGGAATCATGCTGTCGATCGTGGTGATTGGCAATCCATGTGCTCCGTGGAGAAGCGAACACTCTGGTTTTCTTCATAAACAGTGCGGCTATTACTCAAGTAAATATGGCATCCCCCATCAATGTCAGAGAGTTTCACCAACTTTTATAGCTTGTTAGCGTACATAAAATTATTGTGCCATGTTCATAAATTCTGCAATTACAGAAGGCTCATAAACATTTGAAGTTCTACAGCAGAATCATGTGTTACCTTCAGAATAACCGTCATAGTAACCATCTTTGCCAGATAACCGTGTTTGTCCAATGCCTGCTCCCCAGGCAATAAGAGGTGTCTCCGTCTCTGAGGGATTCCCTGCACCATGGTTACCTGCAAACATTTGAAATTACTTACGTTGCAACTTTCCAGTCTGTGATAACCACCATATACAACTACCTTCAAGACTGTTTCATGAGACAACCACAGCAAATTAGTGCAGGACATGTATACAGCAGCAAGGTGATCCCCTGTTCCCTAATATAAACACAAAACTTCCAAAGTAAGCATTGTAGAATGGACTGGAGAGGCATTCTGGAAACACCAATGCTCTTTCCATGTGCCATTAATGTTGTATCGTGTACCATATGGCAACATATTGTTGAAGATCATCTCCGACTAACTGATTACCCCCCAATATGTTTTCACTTACAAGCCAAGGAAAAACAATGGAAGTTCTTGCCAGCACATGAATTTGGTAACTCACTTAACTGGTAATCAAAATGCTGTCATTTAATAACTCACTGCCAGCACCCTTCTTATTTTGGCAGTAGTTCTATTTTATTATTGCATCCATACCATTTATGAAGCTAACATCAGGATTAATACTATACAGTCATTAAATGGGGCCCTAAATACCTAAGCACTTAAAAACTCCCTATCTTTAACCTTTACCATTACCTGGCTTTGTAAGCCTTTAAATATCTTAGGGCACCACAGAATCCAGTTTGTGTGCCTCTGGAAAACAAGAGCACAAAATGAAGACCTCATATTGTTAATTAAAAAAAACAAAAAAACAAAACAACAACAACTGAAGAAGCTATTTTTGAAAAGCTAGTATAAATACATACTGCAAAACTGAATTTTTCAGGCCCCAATTTCTTTGAGCCATTCTTTTCAATTTTTGTGATTGTTGCAAAAATGTTTATGTGCTCGTGGCAAGAATTATGGTTTGTTAAAATGAATGGCTGTGTAACATGCATGACTAAAGCTTAGTATGCTCTTCCTTACCCCAATCCGTCATTCCATGATCTGATGTGAAAATGTAGGCCGTCTTTCCATCCTCTTGGTAGTATTCATCAATAAGCTGGACCACTCTTTTTATGTTCCTGTCAACTAATGCAATATTTTCATAATATTCCCTACAAAAAAGAAGCATATAACCTCGTTAATTCATGCCAAATTGGGAATTTATCTTAACCATTTGAGCGCCGGTTATTTTTTTTTTTCCCACATGCCGAACACAAATTTTGGTCTCAAGAACACTGCAAAACTCGCTGAGTGAAATGCAGTTCCAGGGTCACCGCACAGATGGCGCTAGCGTGCCAGTGTGTTCTCTTGTCGCAAGAGATTTTATGAAATTTTAAGGCACTTGGTTCTAAGGAGTCGCAAGTGCGTGAATGGGCCTTAAAGCCTGACACAAAAAAATAAATTGTTCCTGGAAGATTTCTCTCCTTTTCTTCGTTTCCCCCCTCCAATTTCTTCTCACTTCTTCAAGTCCTTGTCACATGCTAAGTGCCTACGTGACATAACCCCCCAATTTGAACAACAGCGATTAGTCACACTGGCAGGATGAGCACTGAAAGGGGCTGTTGCTATTGTTTGACTCGGATTCGTAGATCGCTCTTCAAGCTATTCTGTGACGAGCTCATGACGAGCTACGTGCTTGTCGGACAGTCCTATGTCTATCTTTAGCCACGTGATTACCCTTCCGCCCATACACACGCGCAGAAACCGAGGTCAGGTGATGAAAGGGAGGCGGTTCATTGGTTCGGTGGGCGCTTAACTCCCGCAGCACTGTCAGCTCAAAAGTCAACAAAGATTTTGCTTCTTTTTTTTTTTTTTTATAGGGCCTGCAGCGTTGAGTTGCTATGGATGTGCATGTTTATTTATTTTTCTTTTCTATTATGTGCCATGTTATGTTTTGGCGGCACGGCATATGTTCAAGAGCGCAGACATGTCACCAACAAATGACGACGACTCACATACATGTCATTGTAAACCGTTTTTACGCTTATCAAGGGGTTGTGCGAGGATACCAAGGTGTCTCCTCGAGGAGGCACAACAGAGCTTTCATCGTCATGATATCTAGTGAATCATTTTCATTTTCAACGTTAGCTTCTTTTAGGAGAGGGTCGAACATTGTCGTGCCAACCTCAGCTGGAAACGCTAAGCCGATGCCCCGCCGCAGACTCCTCCTCTGACATGTGTATTCTTTTAGGCCCTTGTCCCACACTCTTTTCTTTGAGAAGAACATAGAATAAAGGCTCAGAGACCTCAACGTTTGCTGTACTTTATTATTTACTTTATTTATTCACTTTATAAAAATAAAGCACTATTTTTTGCGGTCAAGTAATTTCATTTCAAGTATGAATTACGGGAATATTTAGTGTGTATGACATTTTACAGCTAGAAGTGCTCCACTACGTACTGCTTGTGATGGAGTGATGTATTTGCATGATAAATTTTTCTCAATATTTTTAAATTGTGAAATTTGTCAAAATTAGTTATTCGCAAAACTTAGCCCGTTTTAGCACTTGATGTGGCTGCTGAAACAGTAAGGAACCGTATTTCATTCTTTAATTAAAAAAAAAAAAGAAAGGTAAAAATAAACTGAGATATTTAAAATGGGAAACCTCAGACAAAAAAAAACGTTGATGCTCCCTCGTCGGTAAAATGCTTTCTAGACAGTTGTTGAAATGAATAAACCACGCGAGGAACCCGATGGGGCAAGCAGATGTCAGCATGCGAGAAGAATAGAGGCTTGGCTTTCTTCAGTTTTCGTTTATACTCAGTTCAGCACAAAGCTGACGGTGCGGTGGGAGATACGTGCGGCCTACCCATTCAACCGCTTCCTATTCATCGCCTGACCACGCTCTCTGCACGTAGGTATGGTCGGGGGCGTAACTACGTGGGGAAAGATAGGCGTATGACTGGTCCGATGAGCATGTAGCATCCACGGCACTCTGGATACTTTAAGTCCGAGGGTCAAAGTGAAGTCTAGCGTTTAGGAGAAGAGGAGGAAAAAAGGTGGAGGCTTCTGCATTTTTTTGTGTGATTACTAACTGGCGGCTAGACCAATCTTTTTTAGCCCTAAACGGTGACGTCAAAACTTCTTTCTTTCCTCTTGCGGAAAAACGGCAAGGGGAAAATCGAGGAGAGTGGAGTGTATACGCATCCTCCTTTCTGCTTGTTGGTTGGCCTTTAAGACTCACAGTTGCAACAGAGATGTTCCACTCTTTCAAGTGCAATCGCTATTCAATCGATTCATGTACACCCTTAAATCAGGGTGAGCGTATATTGCCCCTGGTACCTAGAGGGAAGATTCCTTCTTGGGGTCCCCGAAGCGCTCGACCATTAGACAAGCCGAGTAATAAAACTTTTTTTATTATTGGTGCTGATTATCCCACAAAGCTATAATAGACCAAACCATGTGCACCTAATGAGTAGGTGGATTACTCTCTGTTTCAGTGCTTCAAAGTCGATATGCACAAATTTGGTTTTCTTGTTTACCTATTTGTCATTGCAATTGTCCCCACTCCTTACTGATGGATGGTCCCCCACCACCTCTGTGAAACACGAAGAGGTCCCAAAACACCAGTGGTTGAGAACCACTGTCCTAGATGATACAAGGGTCGTTCAAGGTTGACTGGAGCTTTAGTCCAAAAGAAATCGCTGGACAAGTGCAGCATGATGAAACATGCAGACGACATTAACATAATCCTGCGTGAATATCCCATGTCTGGAATGATGTATTTGACGCATGCGCAGCAGTTCCAGCTATCATGGCAGCGAGTAATGTGTCTGTAGTCGTGGGTGAATAATAAAATTTCTGGAGAAAGAGGAAGTTAAATTAACAAATTTTGAGAAGACTGCAAGGCCAGTATAGGGAAGAAACAATGTCACGGTTAAGACTGTATGAATGGTGTCAACAGTTTGGCAAAGACGACAGCATTTGACAAATGATTTGCACAAACATGTTTGTCAGACTGCAGTCAAGGCATTCAATTTTGCACGTGTTGAGCCAGTCAACCGTGGGAATCGACGAGTAAAAGTGGGACATTGCGGCCGACGCGAATATCTGTCGGCAGTGTTGAGACAATTATTCACGAGCATCAATAAGGTCGGCCCCTCGACAACTGACATTTGATCAGAAGTGGACACGCATGACAATCTGTGAAAAACTCCTGAACCAGTTTCAAGCGGAAGGTGATGACTTTTTGCAATCAGTCATCACAGACTATGAAACATAGATGCATCATTTCACCCCTAATACGGCTAAGAGCAGCAACATAGAGTGGCGACACAAGGGCTACCTGCAGCGCAAGAAAAGCCAGGGTGTCTAGCAAATTATTATTTTGAAATTCCCTGACCACTGTACAGGTAGTTAAATATATAAGACCATTACAAGACAAGGCATTGAGCACTGTGAGGATCATTTTGCATGGGCTTAATCTAACTTGCATATGCCAAAATATTCGGGTTCGTTCAGTCCGGATTAAACAAGCACTTTCTTGCCGCCGACATTGTCAGTGAAGAGGCCACTTCCAGAAACACAATGAAAACACGAGGTTATGGCACATGTGCCTTCCAGCCTGGACTTAGTTTCCAGAGATTACCATTTGTTTGGACTCCTTAGACAGCATCTCCGAGGGAAAAAAATTCCATACAGATGAAGCACTACAGAAAGAGGTCCTGCAGTTGCTACGACAGCAGCCCAGTTCTTTCTATGCCAAAGGAGTCAGGGAGTTGCCAAAACGATGGTAGCAGTACCTGGACGTGCACGAGAATACCTTGAAAAACTGACATACAATTTTCATAATTGTCAGATTTTCCATTTCCTGTGTAGGAATAAAAGTCCCAGTCAACGTGGAACGACCCTTATATTATAGGTTAGCATAGTTCAGGGGTGGCCAGGCTGACCTGGCCTAAGAGCCGCAAACAAAACCCCAAAACTGCCAAGAGCTGGAGGGCGGGCAAACTTTTGTCCAGTGCAACAGACGAAACTCAAACTACTTTCAATCTATCCGAGTCAAAAGAAGTCGGACTGTACATGCAGTAGCAGTAGCACAAGGCTACCGAACTGCAAACTGTCTTGCAATTTAAAACGCTTTCCATTTCTCTTTTAAGGTAAGTGCTCGTGGGACCGGGAGGGAGGCGGAAGTGTGGGGTGGGGTGGGAGGCAGGAGAGGGAGCCGCAAGCCGCACTTTAACACGCGAAGAGCCGCAGCTCGGCCACCCCTTGCACAGTTGATGAGAAGCAGGGGCTTGAAGAGAGAGACATTACTCTTCAAAAATTCATATCAAATTAGAAATTAAAGCTTGATACTTGACATATATGAGTAGAGAAGTGGAGTTAATATGTGCATTCAACTCATCTGTTCCTTTTTTTCTCTTTTTATGTTTTATAAGGGAGGTGCAGAAAAAAAAAAAGATGGTCAATTGTTTTAGTAGCTCCTTTTACTTACAATAAATGATGTTTGTCTGCCTGATTAGTTTGTGTGTGGCCTTTTTTTTTTTTTTTTTCTTTTTTCATAACTTAAAGCACTACTCACATTGAATCTGGGTTGTATCCATGCCCATTGGTGTCCAAGCCTAAAAGGTGTAAGAAAAATACGAGCTTGTCTTGCTGGAGCATGTGCTTCAAAGTTTTGTTGGTAGATGCACTTGCCAAAAATGCCTGAAAACAAAATGCAGGTAAGAGCTTTGGTATACTGCAACTGTTAACCAAGAGTATGAAGCACAGCTGCATGGGCCACATATTTACCCTAAAATAGTGGGGGAGTGCCCACCCAACTTTCACTGAAAACTGGTTTACTATCTAGACATGGGTGCTTAACATATAAATTGCAGATCGGGTGCTTAACATAAAAATCGCAGAATTCTAAAGTTTGGGAAATGTTAATAGTGGGCACTTGAACGAAGTGGGCATTTACGCGGTATTTTAGGGTGTGCCCAAAAGAGAAGTTGTCAAATATGTTATGACAGGGATAATCAAGTTTCACTTAAAATTTACCTTTTTTCCTTACATTCTTAGAAGTACTTTAAAAAATACTAAAGACAATGCGAAAGGTTTTTCTAAAAATGTTTTTCACTTGCTTCGCAGTGGCCTCAATATCACCCAACCCTGTCTATAATTTTCTGCAAACATTTTCCCACAAAATAGACCACACAAAAAGGAGTGGCAATGTCCAAAACCAAACACTGTGCTTATGATGTGAGAGAAAAGGGGGGATGCAACGTTCCAATCAAACAGAGGACTACGGCAGACCGGAATGTTATTTCACCCTTTCTGCTTGCTCTTGTTAATCTACCGCTACGCGTGAGGCAGCACTGGCACAATCTGTTAATTTTCTGTTCAGATGATTTGAGGGAAAAAGCATACTTGTTTTGGTTTACCCTTTTCTGGAAATGAGGAGCCCATACACACAGACAGCATGCTCAGGCTCAATTAAATTCAATCTGAAGTGTAGCACCTAGTAGCACCAATGTGCACAACTTAGTGCTTGCTCATTGATGCTCTTCGGAACACTACAGAGATGCTGCAATCTGAGAAAAGAGGAAAATTTATGACTGAAGTGGATACAGCCTTATGAGCACCAATGTACAAATTGCTCAGTGGTGCCCTTAGAAACACTGCAGACAAGCTGAAATCCCGGAAAAAATGTATCTTGTAATGCAGGTGAAGCCAACTTTAAGGAGATCTCAAGCAATCTCGGACATTGAAATGACGGCACTTTGTACCGAAAATGAGCAGATTGAGTGAACTTAAAGATTTAGTGTAGATCAGTTTAATCTGATATGAAATGATTGTGCATTGTAATTAAAATTGTTGGAGAAAGACACAGGTTTGCAAAACTTGGTAACTGGGTGCTCTGTGAATGTAGAGAAGCAGTTTTAAACAGGTGAAATTTCTTGTACAGACGTTTAAAAATCTTTCAGTTGAATCTGGAAGTGCAATATGCTCATGCTTGCTAGTTTCTGGGATATGTTAGGAAGTTATATCCAGTGCTTGAAATATGCTCAGTGGAGAGCAACTTAGAACAATAAAGGCAATGGCCTTACTTTGATTTGCAACATGTATCCATATTGCCCTTCAAATATCTAGCAAAAAATAACCTCACCACTGTAAACTCATATAACGTGTCTAGAAAATATGTTTTGAGCTCAGTGGCTCTTCTTCTCATTGATTGTTGCTCACGATAAACCTGCCCATTCATATGTTTTCTTGTTCATGCACATACAATTCGGAATCAAAATCTATCTACTTTTTGTCTCACTTTCTACATACATTCAGATTGTGGATTTCTAGTGAAATTTGCAATTTCTTTTATTTTATTAATTATTTAGAACATACTGCAGGCCAATGGTTGGCCCAAGCAGGAGTCGAAAAAACCAACAACAGTATCTCTACATACAAAAGAAGTAACTTTGAAACTCAATTACCAAAAAAAGAGGTTGAATCATATTTGCACACACAAATACACACAATAAGTTCTGTACATTGAGTTGTGAGTCAGCGCCTGTCCTGTCTGCTTTCTTCTACCGTGTCATTGTCTCCTGTGGACTGCTTTTCACCACTTTCAATGCATACCAACTTGCCCAAATCACCACCTTGCTACAGGTACAAAAGGCTCAGTTTTTAACAATCACTATTCAAAGTAAAAAAAATACAGTGCAAATACTTAATACTTTTCCACTTGGAAATTCACTTATAAGTCATTTATAACAATATTCAAGAATAAAAAGCATCAACAGCATCGCAAAAAAACATCACTGTCAGTGACGGTGTGAGAAAAGGAAAACTTGAAACGATTATTGTGAGAAAAGAGTGGAGTTAACGAGTTCTGATTATGGTGCCTGTGGTTCGTCTTATCAACGACTGCAGAAAATAATGTAGATAAAGCCCAAATTTATTTTATAGCAAAAAGAACAACAATTTAAAACGGGAGATTTGCCTACACAGCTCTAGAGTCATAATTCCATTTGTTTGCATAAGGAGAGATGGTGAGTCTGGCTTTCTAAATTCTTCTATTACCAGTATATGCACAGAAGTTTATCTATCAAAATGAATAAGATTTCAGCTCTTATTTCCACCAGGGTAGTCCCTGGTCAGCAATGCCAGGGATACCTAGCTGCATACTACAACCATAAAATGAAATGTTGCAAATCATTGCAGTGTTCCTTTAAACAATTTTCTCTCATCCACCGACATGCACTACAACATGGCTGCAGTACTTGAAACTGCATATCGCAATCATTCCAAGCGAAATTTTCAAGTAACTTCAATCACCTTTGTAGCAAAAGCTAACGCGTCACATTAGCGGTGGGTGTGTTGGTAGTAAAATTAAAACAGGGCATGATGGCTTCACTTGTCTCACATTTTAACTCCACTCTACCATTACCAATAGCAGACTGGAATATTAGGCCCTAAAGCCTTGCAACCAAAAGCAATCATACACATTTATAGCACAACTCACCAACTAATCTGCGCCTTTAGTTTGCAGCATAGGTGTTCATGCTTTGATTTTGTTCTCTATAAAAACATGTAGGTTGTGTTCTTCCCCCTTGTGTAACACTGGAATGGGCCCTAAAAATTATAATAATTATTTGTGGTTGCCATATAGAGAGACTGTTTGCAGTCTCCATCTGGGCATTTGGAAGTTCTCAATCCAAGAACCGAGCAAATGTAGCTTGCAAAGGTCATAATTTACAATACATAACATTGTTGTAACAATGTTATGCATTGTTAATAACTTACAATGCGTAACAACTGTTTAAAGACTACAATATAATTGAAACAGTTTATGAAAGTACCTCAAATTTTGCAAAAACCCAGGTATCCAGTCTGGATGCATCTTCGTCGGCAAAATCAACTTCATCATTGTCGTATGTGCAGGCAAAGACACGCTTCCCATGATCTCCTGGAAAATTAAAGTATGAGCAGCATTTTTAAGACACCACATTACTCTACATTACTGTAAAATACTGGGGAAGTGCAAACCCCACTTTCACTGAAAACTGGGTTGATCAGTAAAAACCAAGGTGGAGGTCAATAAAGAACTTTGAAGGCAGGGAGAACAAAATCGGAGAAAGCATGTTTATTTTCATTCGACATCCCCCTCATCGCAGCATGCGGTCTGATGGCCGCCGTGACGGAGTGAATATTTTCAGCTGATGCCGGCGCTTTGGGGGGCGCTTGACGTACAATTTTCAGAATTCCCAAGTTCGGGAAATGTTAAAAGTGGGCGCTTGTACGAAGTGGGCGCTTCCGCGGTATTTTACGGCAGTCAGTGCCCAGAAAGTAGTAATGACTGGAGTCCCACAAAAAAAAACACCCAGAAAATTTGCTATCTGATCTGCACATTTTACAATGCCAAATAATTGCCTAGTTTCCCCTGAAATTAGGTAAGTGCTCATCAACATTATTAAGAATCAACAAAATCATCAAACCTTATTTTTATCTTGGAAGCATTCAAATCTACTTCTATTCTAGAAGTCCACTGCATTTATTGCAATCTTTTTTAAATTTTAGACTACAAAGCTACAACACAATCTTTATATCTCAGACACAACTGAACTACTTTTTGGGCCTTAATGACAGTCATCCATAACAAAAAAAGGAGTGAGGGTTGGGGAAAGAATTCATCCGTTTATGAAAACATCAGTGTTATGGCAGCATTCATGTACCTTTGCATAGAGGCCTGCTATGCAGCTGCATGCTGGGCTATAGGCTGCACTCCCTATAGCCCACCAAGCTTTCTTGTAAGCTTACCAGACTAACAAAAAGCTTGCATAGATTCTAATGTGCAACAACAATGAAGGATCAAGCTAGGATGATTTTCTAAATGGGCATCAACATAAGAAGCCTTCAGTACCCCTCTCATAGTCTTCTTGGAAGTAAAAGGCCAATGTGGTTCGCCAATTTGCTTTTCAGACAAAAATTATCTGGCAGGTACACGGCAAGTAAGTTTGTCTGCACCTTGAACAGAAGGTATAGTCACGTCACAGTGCCGAGCTCTACATACTATATTCCCTCCAATCAGAGCAAGTAAGGTTGTCGTATGCTCCTTGTGCAGAGGTAACATTTGCGTCAGTGTCAGGTGTTGGGCTGCTGAACCGCGTCGTCATCTGCTGGTCCTAGCAATGGCTGTCTTACCTTTTCTATGACTTTCAGAATTTCACTGGCTCTTTACAAACGAGGACTTAGCCTTCAAAAAAGGGAAGAAGAAGTACCTCAAAGCATTGTTTTTGCCAACTAACAACTACCAGACGTGCGAAACCTAAGGCCGAGATCTTGTTTACTCCCCGCAGAACAGAAAGGCAAACAGTTGCAGGTGCGGAGCTTCGTCGCACATGTGATTACTTCCTCTCACACATGAAGGGGCGCATTTTTGTTGACTCGTTCGCTATATATTCTACAGACTGGTGTTGCCCTAGATGGGTGTACTCACAAACTGGCGAGGCATAAGTGCAGAAAGTTTTTATTCATTGGGCATTTTTAGGGTGCAACCAATAGATGTGCAGGATGCCCAGACAGCAACCCCTTCGAATTAACTGCAATTTCGCTCACCTTTAGTGAAAAGATGCACCATGTCAGCAGCTCCCCAAGCCCACACATATCGGCTCCTGTTGAAGACCGAATCAAACTCCACTGGATTGTCCTTCCAGCCTTTAGTTACGGCACTGACATCTTCATAGAACCCAGCAATGAGGGCCACATGTCCAGGTCGGGACTCCGTTGGCACTCGGGTGTGGGAGATGCCCCAGCTCCCCTTTTCAGTGATAATGGACCTGAATAAAGAAAGTAAGAGATAAACGCCTGTTACCATCGCTTGGACTCCTCGCAGAAACCTAATAACAACAATAATAATTGAAGAAAGAGTAAGTAAAGAGGCAAGCTGGTTGATGTTACACATATTTGAAAAAATCGTAGACGACGGACGAAGGGGACAAACACAAAACATCTTTTGTCCCCTCCTTCGTTCGTAGTCTCCGGTTTTTTCAAATATATAATAATAATGTTCTGTGCATGTTTATGCAGTCCGAAGTTAGACAGCCTCAATGGCTGTCTGGTGTCTCAGCTGTAGATGAGAAATTCAGCCAGTGCAGTACAATTGCTGGCGTGGGCTTTTTATTGTGCACCAGTGCGCTTTGTACCAGTGCAAAGCGCGAGCTTCCGCTCCATGCACTTAAAGCTGGAGCACACCTGCCCACTTGGCCACCGATCCCCCCCCCCCCCCTCCCCCCCCTCCGCAGATACCCGACAGAGTGCAAATGATAGCTTGTTATGACCATCTCCGAATAAATGAAACAAACACCACACAGTTGCTAGAAATGGTTAGGTTGCAGCTACCTTATAGGGATCTCCACTTCACTTATTGTTGAGAATATCTGTAAAGTGAGCATTAAGTTCCAAACAATGCAAAAACTAAAATGGACAAATTTCATTCCTGAACTGCCTGGTACTTTTAAGTTGTTTTAGCATCAATCAACTTCAAAATAATTGCATCGTCACAATTTTTACTGTGCTCTTACATTTTCTGTTATTAAGACAATAACTAGGGATCAATCTATGATTGCAAAATAGTAAGGAGGGGACGTTTTTGTGCTCTATATATTTCTCAAATCTGAGAAGTGGGTCAGCTCGCCTGCACAGTAACTTTCAATCCAAAGGTACGTCCCAACTCTATAGGTTCTGTGCACTGGCAATCCGAAAGAACCCACAAGACATCTGGGGGGGCACAAAGATAGCAGGTATTAAAGAAAGAGTAAGTAAAGAGGTGAGCTGGTTGATGCTACAGTTATTTGAGAAAAACCGGAGACAACAAACGAAGAAGGGGACAAACACACAACGTTTCCAGAGATGTTATGTGTTTGTCCCCTTCTTCGTTTGTCGTGTCAGGTTTTTTCAAAAGATAGTAGGTATGTTCCCTGTTCCCATGGGTAGGAGAGTCTCTCGGTGTGATGTTCATAAAATCATGTTTACAAAGGCTTCAACCGATGTCACTGTGAGATTACATGCACAACCACTAATAAAGTATATCTAATCCCAAAAAGAAGCTTAGATATGTAAACTTTTATCAATTTTCTTACAAGCCGCATGAAGCCAAACATCATAGGAGATGGGCAGCCATCATGCAGCGCATTAGGAAGCAAATCTTTTCGTATTTTTTGCCTTATTTACTTGCTCACAGTGTTGCCAATCATGTGGTTGGTTAAATATGGCTCTTTGTACAGTCTCCCACAACATGAAAGACCCGCTGGGAGCGCGTGACCGAGACGGCAGCGGGCAAAAGCGCCACGCGCACCCCGGACGATTCCATTTTGCCTCAAAGGGATACTGAATAGAAACTTAAAATATAGCCCTAAAGTTCAGAAATAAGTTACACTATCAACTCTCTGCTAATGAAAATCGCATGCTTCTAATTGGAACAGATGGCTATATTTTTTGTTCCAAAGGACTGATTCCAGCAAGCACTCGAAGATCAGTCATCGGAGAGCGCAATGCATCTCGGGAGACGTGACCTCAGCTGACACGGCACGGGAAAGCTGCTTGGGGGCTGGCGTGGTTATCAGCTCTGCCACATTGCCTCGTCAATGCGTTACAACCTGGTCGTTTTAGCTGCCCCTCCCCGCTCCCCGCAGAAGTCAAATAGGCCGGGAGAGAAGGGAAATCCGGTTTGACAGGGCTCACCAGTGCATGACGAGTGTTATTTTCATTCAAGTGCCGCCCAGTGTTTCCACTAGCCACGAAAGCCAGCTTGAGAGTTATAGCACTTTCTCTCAACAGCAATACGAAACATTTAAAACTATCTAAGCTCAAGAACATAATGGTGCATTGTATAGCAACAATCCCCTCTTTTTGCACACTTGCTTGAAAGTGTGCACTGTGGATGGACTTTTTTGCTGCATGGCTGGCACTAAAAGGGTACTAAAGTGATATCTTGGTTTGTCTTTTTTTGTAGCGAACTGAACCTACGCACCCCAAGCGTTTTAGAAAATCCCAGATTACAATCATGCTTGACCTTTTTTCCTATCGAAAGTTCAACCAACCATTGTACTTATCTGAGACCTCAAAAAAACGGATGTGTCACTATGTTTGGTCACAATTTTAATCAGGAAAAAGGCCACACATGATTTCATTTTGGGTTTCTTAGAATGTTTAGGGAATACAGAATGAGTTTGCACCATAAAAAGATAGACTCAAAATTCACTTTAGTGCTTCTTTAATATCTTTTGCGAGAATATGTCTTCCTGAGGCCTTAAGTAATCATGCATAGAACACTCCCAAGAGCTGCCATGCACATGGGAAACATATTCAACCTTCCCGGTTCAGTCACGGGCGGCGTGGGAGCGATGGTGTCTAGGCAGGCACCTATAGATCAACACGTAGCTCCGACATCACACTGCTGCGGTGACGCTGCCGCCAGTGTGGCACACGCGCAGACACTTCACGTGAATCTGGTGTCTGCACATGCAGTGCTCACCTGGTATGGGCATACACAAACTTGTTTGTAAACAGTGTTGATCTATTGGCTGGATGATGCAGTGCAGAAAAAGCTATAGCATTGCTTAGCGACAGCATGATCCATTAGTTGCTTAAAACAGATTGTGCTAGCCAAAAGGGGTAAGAAGAAAACACATGAAGTGCCTCCGGCACGCTAAGCTATAAAAACAAATGCCAGACTGCAACGATTGAAAATGCAGAAGTCCATTCCAACCTTTTCTTCAACAGCTTAATATACACGGGGCTCCCCGCATGGTTTCTGTGCCATTCCGGCCTGAACATCGCTGGGCCAGCCCATCCTGCCGCACCATGTACTTGTTGGCTAATTTTAAAATTTTAAGAATCTATGTCAAACAAGTTTGTTTGCTTCTTCTACAGAGGGTGACAGTGACATCACGGCTTTTGAGGTTGGGTTGAAAGATTGCTCAGAGTAGGTACTGGTGGGATGCGACGCCGTAGTACGTAAACAAAGGCAGCGTCATCTGTTAGTCATAGCAATGGAGTCTGTTCTACGGCGGTCAGAACTCCATCAGTTCCTTACAAACGAAGACTTGATCTTTGAGACAAGGGAGAGGGAATAACTGAGAACATAGCAAAGAATTTACCACAAGAGCCTATGCACAGGTTCTTTGAGTCGCAACGTTGAATAGGTTGTTTACCCACTAAAGATGCCGTTTGCCGGGCTTTGTTGCACACACGGTCAATCTTTCCCTTTCCTTTCCCATGCATGGAGAGACACGTTTTGATCGACATGCTCATCATAGAAAGGGTGGGCAGTTGTGGAGGAAAGGTCACATAGTCAGTATTCTACTGTTAAAGCTTTTGCACACAGACATGACAGTGCATTTGTGAGACAGGAGTGAATGCATGTGGATGATGACATGCAATCAGCTATTATCATTTCAGTACATCCTTGTTCATGGGTCACACTATAGTTGATTAAGGCGTGTTTCTTAACTCTAAAATATCCTAAAGTCAGTTTTTGAAAGAGCTGTAAAGGAACTCATATTCAGATTCAATCTCTTGCAAGGATTAGATTCAATCTCTTGCAAGGATTTGCCTACACGAGTTGACACATGTTAACCAAACGAGACAAACATCATTCTTGCAATGGTGTAAAATCTCCCAAAGTGGCTTGTTTAGGCATTTTCTTAAGCCGTTAGGAACCAATCTATCCATGTAAAATAAATATATTAAATGTAAAATTGCCAACCCCGGATCGGACACAATGACATGTTGTTCGACACTGCTCATGCACAAAGCTAGGTTAGGTCAAACTTCGGCGGAATACTTCATCATTCGAGCAAAGAGGACACGGGCAGAGCATGTTCGATAGAAACCCGGTGCTCTCGTTACCATGTAGCCTCTTATGGGCCCTTTACCGTAAATACGGTGCCCTGGTGGTGCCATTCTTCTGAAGCTCAAATACTTTGTCCGCGCGGAGACCATCGGCGACGATGAGGACCAGTCTTGACGCTGGTGCGGGCAGTGGTACTTCGTAGGCGGGTAAGCCATGAATGATCGGGGACTTAAAGTAAATGTCGAAGATGGAAAACAAAAACACCACGTGCACTGCCAACCCCACGGCCCCGGCAAATACCGAAATCAGCATTATCGAGCGACTGCGTCAGTGCTAAATTCCTGCAAACCTATCAAACTCTACGGGGAATTCGGCCATCCTCGTAGCTTCCCTGCCGAAGAAGATTCCGCTGGAGGAGCATCATCACCCGAAAATGATGGAACAGAAAGCAGAACCTCTGTGAAGCTGGTGCAGGCTTGTTATGCAGAAGTTGCATAAGGCCACCGCTGCGCGGCCACCGCTCTGCCCACGAAAGCAGAACTGATGATAGCTACATGAAAATAAGGTAAATTCACAACCACCACTTATCACTGCTTCTTTGAATAAAAGCAAGCCCAAATTAATTTTGTTTAATTTCTTCATGTATTAAACAAGCGCAAACAAATGTTAAACCCGTTGAACAGTCTTCAAAAGGCAGTAAAATCATCTGGTGGGCTAGTTGGCTAAACATAATGAGAAAATTAGCGCAAAAGGCAGCTTTCGCCACTACCACTATCGCCTAAACGATTACAGCGCTACTTTTGCCTAGCGGAAGTATGAACTAGACGAGATTGGTTCTTTTTCTGCTCCGACGGCTCCGACCACCCCGACCACGCTCCGACCACTGTGGCTACGACGACTTGACTTGGTGCTCTTGCTTAGTCTTTGTGGTTTGTGGCCTGCGTTGAACTGTGTAATTCTCTGAACTGTATTGGTGCAAAAGACGGACAAGAATGGCAAGCTTATCAAATCTCTGTAGGTTCTCTTGCAGAACCTTAGTAACACGGGCAGCGTTCAATCCGAAATTGAAGCCTGGCCGGCAATGCTGGGAGCAGCTTGTAAGTTATTTTCAACGTAGTTATTTTTTTTTTTTTTTTTTTTACAGTTATCGTTAGGACTACCTATTACCTGAAACTCAAGTTGTTTCAACTTCACATGTAATATCCTCGTCGAAGGGGTCAAGTGCTGAACAGTCTCGCGGCTTCTTATGAACTTTGTAATGGTGGCCCGGTCAGCAAGCTCTAAATTGCCGCTCCCCGTTTTTGTTTCAGGCTCATCTTTTTTTCTTTTTTTTTACAGAAGTAGTTTTGGACATTAGTTCAGTAATAATGGCTATAACATTACTAAAACTTTGCCCCCCCCCCCCCCCCCAAACTACATACACGCATACATACATATGCACCCACTTGTTTGTACATGCCTTGCACGCATGTCATCCGAAAGTTGTTCATCTGCCTTGATGCTGGGGGATTGGCCTGAGCTCACGCTCTGTTTGGTCCATGTGGTAGCTGCTGGTCACTCACTGGTGGCTACCACTGGTGTTTGGAAAGCATTTGCTCTGAGGTGCTTGAACAAGGCTGCAGTCACTGCTACAGTTTCTGTTGCTGTGATGTTAGTTGTATAAGTTGCTGCTTAAAGGGGGGGTGCAACGATTTTGAGATTGAAAGTGTTTTTCATCTCGTCATTTTTATGTTGTACATCGCGTCCCGGATGATAGACCAAACATCTCCTACATTAAAAAGTATTGCGATTCCGCTACATAATCGCAAAGCAAAAGTCTAGCTTTTTCTCCCACCAGCAGCCGCGAGTGGCAGGCAGCCGCAAAAGCTACAGCGAGAAGATTACGTGACCTTGCTCGGCTCTAAGCTGGGGCCCTATGTTGCACTTTTTGGACTCCCACGGCAACTAGGGAGAAGGAAGGGACGTCAACAACGCAGCAAACGCAGATTGGATGTTGATTGGTGAGAGTCGTTGATGACGAATTTCTGCAGAAGAAAAAAAAAAGAAAAAGTGAGACTTGTTTTCTTCTGTGGAAATTCGTCATCAGCGACTCTCACCAATCAACATCCAATCTGCGTTTGCTGCGTTTTTGACGTCGCTTCCTTCTCCCTAGTCGCCGTGGGAGTCCAAAAAGTGCAACATAGGGCACCTGCAACATAACGCCCGCTAATGTCAGCATAGAGAGGGAGAGGGAGTGTCCTCCGAGAGAGCACACGGGAACCTACATGGCACCCCGAATTACGTCACTACAAGGCGGACCAGGTGTGACCCTGAAGACTGAGTGAGTTGAGGGGTGCCAGAAATGCCAATAGACATGCAGGTGAATTCGGTTTTCTGTTCTTTACTTTAGAAGTGTCAGAGGGCAACTTCCACAAATCTTTGACCAAAGTGCGGAAATCGTTGCACCCCCACTTTAACGCCCTTCATGCACCCATATAGGCTGGTGTTTAACCCCTTAACTGATTTTCGTATGCGGGCACTTCTGCCCTTCAACGGCCTAATTATTGTCTTCAAAATCAAACTTGTTGCCTTCAAAACCAAATTTCTAGCCACAAAAGGAAAGCTTAAAAATATTCTCTGCTGCCACCTGTTGGCACAGCCACAGACTAAGCCATGAGTTAGCCCGATTTGTCCAAAACGATTGAGTGCTTAAACATGGGAAAGCAGACAAACTGTACTCGTCCTGAATGGTTTAGGGACGGCTCCACGTTGACGAGCTAGGCTCATCCAAGGCGGTTAAAGGGATACTGAACCAAACATTTTAGCGTCCATAAAAAGTTGCGCATGATCTTTCCACGAGCCAGCGCCAATGGGCGTGACTATGCGCAACAAAATTGATGTCATAGTCCATCATTCACTCTTAAGATGACAGTGAAATTTATGGACTCCGGGCAAAAGGAGAACAAAGACAGGCTCTTCATCTCCACAAGTGCAAGCTATGTGCTTGTTATACCAATCAATCACCTACCTTTTACACCAGACCCCACTGTGGAGATGAAAAGCCTGTCTCTTCGTTGCGTGTGCTCGCGCACACCGGCGGCTGCTGGCTCGTGGAAAGATAGTGCGCCACTCATTTGGACACTGAAATGTTTGGTTCAGTATCCCTTTAAGGGGCTAAAGAGGCTGTGCAACGATATTGGGTAGAAACGTTTCTCACTTTACATAAGCTTATTGGCACTAGTTTGACCCAAGTATATTCGCATACAGTGCCTCTGACCAGGAAGCTTCTTTGTCGCAGTGTAATTTCAAGGATAAAAGCAGACTTTTTTCATTGGTCTCACCTTTGCAAAACAAGATGTTACTCCAAGTGACTGCGGCGCTATGTTTAAGTCATGGACATGAATGCCTTGGAAGTGGCAGCCGTCTACTAAGACTGGGCCACCTCCTGGAGCCCACTGCCTTCACTGAAGTGAGCGATGACACCACCAAACCGGCCAGAGCTTTCCCATCCGAGACAATCATTCAACAGCCCACGGGAGTTCACCTCAGCTCACTGGCAAACTCGCTTAAACCTTTCTCGAACTTTCGAGCAACGGTGCTTGCAATGTTGAGAAGACTGTGTCGTCTTCCCCTTGTACATATCGTCTCATAATCACCCTCACTTTCATCTTGTATATTATATTGTCACATAATCACCATTGCCTAGATGCAGCACCGAGGGCCTCCATGGTACGAGTTGTTGCCTTTCTGCGGTGCCGCAGCTCTCCTGAGCCAATAAAGATTATTATTATTATTATTAGTATTATTATTATTATTATTATTATTATTATTATTATTATTATTATTATTATTGATGGTATAGTAATGGGGATCACATTCTTGTCACAGTCATGGAGATTTTCCTATGATGGCGATATTCGAATCCAGCTCGTAGATTGGACACAAACACTGCATGTGCACTGGCTTGGGCTCGCTACGATCAAGTCTCAACGAGCTTTCAGGTAGTGGCTCGTGTCAAATCGCTGCGGTGACGGGAACAACCAATCTAACAATGTCCGAGCTCATCATATGTCCTGTGCTTTGCCAACCCTTGCACGTGGGTATGGTGAACATTGCATATAATCGCCACCAGATCATGTTGCCCCTTGTTTTGGCTGCGAGTTCAGGGGGTGAAAGTTGCTCGTTTTTCTCATTTTTTTTCCCCGACTGGCATTGCAAGGAGAGAAAAATGAATGTTTTCTAGGCTATGAACGCCGAGGATTAATTTCACAGTATTTAGTGAAATTACAAAAATCGTTGCACAGGCCTTTTATCACCGAACATCACCACTCAAGTTGGTATCGCATATGCGCTCTCCAGTACACTACTAAATTACCGAGCATCCGTCCACTTTACAATAAGCGCCATCCCCTCAATTTTGTAACATTTGGAAAATACACAATGGACAAATCTTTACATACTGTTGAACTAAGGAACAACCATCCCCCAGTTTACATGATTATCTCAAAATATTGTGTGGGCACTTGCTTAAGGTTTTGCGGTAGTTTTCGTAGTTCTTTTTAGTCATGTGACAAAATGGAAAAAAGTGGCTAATTGTGCCATGCTTACAGCATTAGATATGGAATGAAATTAATTTTTTTTTTTTTGTCCATAACTTAGAAGTTGATGTTCATTTCTGATTCCAGCGTCTGACGCCACTGGCCAGCATGCACAGGAAGTTGACATCGGCAGCCTCATCACAGGGTCACGGCAGCCATGAAAACCACACTAACAGCACTTTGGTTTACTTGGGCACAATTCGTTCAACGGTGAAGATGGTAAAAGCCTTGTCTCTAACGACGAGTTTTGTTGGTATTTTGGCACAGCCCATTTTGCTGCAACAGCTCAATGGCTCATCGAAAATTGCAATAGGGATTGTGACCGTTTTTGCTTCCTTTTTCATCTTCGTCACTCCACTACTGCTTCACTATATTACAAGAAGGTAACTATGTTGTTTTGCATACTCATTTTCTTTTCTTGGTTTTTGATTTTCAAGAGAAGCATAGCCGCCTAATAGAAAGAAAGCCTGCGTGGTCAGTGCCAGAAGAATTGCCTGCCTGGCAGCCGTAAAGAGGGAGGAGGAAGAGAGACCACACGCATTGCTCGAAAAGCGCAGTGGCCAACTGCAGGATGAAACAAGCCTTGCCCCCAGAGAGCGGTGGCGCCAGTGTCTGAGTAGGAGCAATAGGTGCCTTGTAGGTGGCCATAACCTGAGAGAGGAGGCTAAGCCATCGGTTAAGAGAAAATTTTGCTGCTAAAAATTAAAGGTTTGTTTCTCAAAACTGTCGCTCTGGTGGTGTGCACCTTCCTTGCTCTTTCTCCCAGGTTTGGCGGCCGGTTCTGGTGCTGACCTCGCGGGCTTTCCCCTTATATGGGAGGCTATGTAGACACTCACTCTGCCTATGGGAGCAATTTCTTGCTGTGCTCTTCATTCAAACACAATATGAAATAGAATAATCTAAAGCCTGATTATATTGCATTTTAAATTGTGGCTATGATTTTTAGTTTCTGAATATATGTATGTGGAGCAAAGTAGTGTTTCTTGCAGATACTTCAGTATTGGTGTTAGTGCGAGTCGAAGGTGTGTGGCATATATGTAAGGGGACACAAAGAAAATAAATGACTCAACATGAGTTCAAAACAATGTATGGGCACATAATGAAGGACCAAAATATGCCAAGAATAGGCGTAGCATCTTTTCCCGTTAAGTTTGATTCCAATATTATAAACCGTAATATTTCGAGAGATGCCCCACCGCTGAAAGATAACCCACCCCTATTTTCGGCACGAGTTTTTACTTTTTGAAAAACACCGAAAGATACCCCACTTCTAGTAATTGCAGGGTTCTGGCCAATGATGACCTTGGCAGAAATGGTGTTACTTACCTATGATGGGAGACAAGCAACAATTGCAGACTCGAAAGGACAGTGTGTTTGCTTTATCGCCCCTTGCTGTGGTCACATGTTTCAGATGCCACAAAATCCAAAACTAGCATGTTTTCAACTTTTTTGATTGCATACCAAAAGTTGGCCCACTCATTTTCACACTACTGCCTAGTTGTTTTCAATTTTAGGTGGGCTATCTCTGGTGATATTACGGTACTAATAAAGTCAAACTAGTTTCTGTCTTTTCAGCGAGTTTTATTGTAGGAATAAAATGGTTTCTTTCCAGGTATGTGACAGAACTCAGGTTCGACAGCAGCAACAAGCAATTCAGTGCAACGACTTTGAGTCTTCTGAACCGAAAAAGGAAATTTGACTTTACGGCTGAGGATGTCAAGATCCCCGCAGTTCCAGGTCCCTTCACTACATTGTTGGCCAAGGGGCGCCCCTTGTTTGTGGACATTCGGGACTTTTATGATGTAAATGTGTTGAAACACTTGATGGGTTATGATAAACCCATTGACTGGCATCTCAATCAACCCCAGGAACAGAGCTTTGCCCAAAAACCCCCTCAAGAAGAATCGCCAACTGCGAGGAAGGGGATGTGACTAGGGTTTGTTTGTTTGTCGGCAGTTTAATATGTTACCATAGGCCTCCTGATGGTGCATAGAGGATGCAATAGGACACTGAATATTGCACACCCTGTTCTTGTGTTGGCTATTCCTTCGAAATGATAGACTTGTTAACCTCAGAAGAGCATGTGCTGTGTGCATTTATGAAAAATGTTTGCTGGTGCAGTGACTTCTATGGAAAATAAGCCTCAAAGACAGATCCTTGTCCAAGTGCTTTACATCTGCTCTGCTGAGGTGTCTTTACATTATGACGAAGCTGGCCCTTCGAAGTTGTTAATTAGCTGTAGGGATTAGGAGTGTTTTGTAGATCTTTGTCACAAAGTGTTTGCTGACATCGTTCGAAGGTGCAACATGTGTCTGGTTTGCACATTGTATTCTTTGTGTAACATGGTGGACCACAGGACACAATCAGTCCTGTGTTCCACAGCCACTCCTAAACAAAGTGTTTTTTGCTTTCTTGCATGTACAGCTGGCACGTATTTATCGTCAGTCTTTACAGAACTAAAACAGTGTGGCTACTCCTTCCAATGGAACTGTCTTTTTCCAGAAGCTTGAAAGGAGCATTCACTTAGTCAATATTGCTATTGTGGAGTGACATGGTCGTCAGAGGAGCTTTTTCTCCTGCTTTGCAAAGTTGCTCCATGAGTGACTATGGCTGGCTTTTTCATATGAAGTCAAAGACACTATGTTGGGAGGGAGTCTAGAATATCTTGTGAACTAAATCAGAATTTAAATGTGCACAAGGTTAGTTAAAGTTGGAAGTAGATAAAGGTTGCTAGTTAGGGTATTTGTATTATCTTAGCACAGTTGTACAAAGAAAGCAAAAACCATTGCATCAAAAGCATTGGAAAACGCTGTCGGGTTGTCCGCCAACCTGGAATTGTCAGAATTTCATAGCATTCTGGAATGTCTGGGTCTGTCAGGGAAATAGCCAAAAATTTGGATAAGTCGGGGAAAATTGCTCGTCAGAGTAGTGTGGTGATGCTGAACGAGGTGTGAGGGCAGAGCCAACACCTAGATAAGAAAGCCTAAGCGCTGAATTTTCCTGCGTCACTAAAGGTCAGTATATGCCAGAGATAGGATATGTCCACGGCATCAGCGTTCAGCTAGGAGTCATGTTCTAACTGATTGGACACGAGTTACAGCCGAACGCTGACGCCATAGTCTTGTCTAATCTCTCTCCTATGCTGGCCTTAGTAATGCAGGAAAGCACTTGGGCTTGCTTATCTATAGACATTTTCCACAGGAGCGCCGCCATCTTGAATTGTCGTCACTTCCAGTATGGGCGACGACAAAATAGTAAAACGTTTCAACCTGTTATTAGTAAAAAAATAGAGGGGAGCCAAAACCAGAATGTGTGACGGTTAGGCTTATATCCTAAATATCTTCTATTGGCGTGGTGACGGCAAAGTAATGTTTTCGCCCATACTGGAAGTGACTACAATTCAAGATGGTGGCGCCCTTGTGGAAAAGGTCTATAGTCAGGTACAACATAAAAAAGGCAATGTGAGAGGAAAAGGGCGCACATGAGGAAAGCCGTTGTGGAAAACCAGGTCGCTCCTCTCCACTTCAACTTTTCTAGTTTCCGCTATCTTACCCCTTGCACTGTCTTATGTTGTATGTGAGGGGGTGTTGGCAGAGCATGCAGTGGCATGAGTGGCCGTCATCCTGTGTAACAGTTGCCCAAGGGATCTAGGCAGCGCAAGCCATCCCCCCATTAATTTAATGAAACGGGAGTAGTCACTGCAACCTCATCCTCTGGCAAGCATGACGTGTACACCCAACTACTGGCTGCTGTTTCACCTGATTTTTCGGCCAGTCACGTGCGCAATGTGTTCTTGTTTTCATGTTGCGTTTTAAAAATGAAAATATGTACGATATTGCTTTCGAAGGAGTGCTTTTATCTGGACTGAACAACCTGGTGACTTCAGTGAAGATCCATTTAGCAAGTGCCAAGATGTTTGAACGCCATAATGATTCATAAGTCTTTTCATTCTCTGGCAGCTACTGCCACACGTTTTCCCATTGACATTTCTCACATGTGAAATCGCCACAAAAACACAGTTGAGAATAAACAAGGCGGGCTCAGATAGATTTTAGTATCGTATCCCCCCCCCCCCCCCCCCCCCCCATTTTCGACAGTAGCTGCTTTCTTACTGTTCTGACATGTAGTTCTGTCGTTGGTGTGTCATACTTGGAAAAAGACTGCAAAGTGTCAGCAACTCACTGGAATTTGTTAGTGTTGCTTTGCAGCATCTACAACCTCCAGGTGTGTGTGTGCTAGCGTTGGCACATACATTCACTTACAGGAAATGCTCTAGTATTTCCTTTCAAGTTCTGTTCATAGAGGTGGTTTATGAACATGAGTGATCGAAGGGCACTTTTTGTGGAGCTTTTACCAAAAGCATTAAAAGGCAACGGGCCCAAGGTTCTGAACTCTTGAGAAGGCAATATGTGGCCAGATGCAGTTGGTGAAATTCGTTGCTAAAGTATGATATAGAAGGAGAGACCACAGTGTAAACCAATTAATTAAGAAGTAACAAAAGCGAACACGAAAAAAGTTACCGGTCCATAATATGTGACAGCCATCCTTATTTCTCCTGAAGTAGTATATTAGCCATTGTTCTGCCACTGCTTTTGTTCGAGCTTGTTTACAAGAGTGGCAACCCTCCCTCTAAATCTCTGCTGCCTTCAGTACTCGTTGCCTCTATTTTAGTAGCTTTTCCTAACGAGCTATTTCCGTTGTCCTGTGTATAAGATCAGCGTGGGCCACACTACCTGCTGCTGACATTCCGTCATGTATAGTAACCCCTACTGTCGGCGGTTCTTTCTTGCAAATTTTAGTTATCTCGAGATGAACTGTAATATTCGTACTTCTCGGAGCGTTGGCGAAGTCGTGGTCGCGACGGGTTGGTTAGCCCCGTTGAGCCCGCTTCTCACCGAGCGCTAGTGCACTGTGGAGAAGTGATGCCCGCGGAGCTGACTCCTTTCCGAGTCTCGCTTTAGAGCGGGGTAGTGCACGTTCACGCACGTCAAAAAAAACTAAATTTTGATATTTGGCATGCTTTTTTTTTTTTTTTCTCTAATGAATTGTTTTGAGGTTGGCATTACCGTAAATTTAATATTTAAAAGCTTTTTTTTGTCACCCTTATGTATGATTTCAACTATTCAGGCCAATTAATGATTTTAGGGGAGGTTCTCAAGGTGAAGGTTGATTGCAGGTTGAATAATGCTTCCACTTCAAATGAAGCGAATCTTGCGCCCTCTAGGTAACTGGTGCGCAACTGAAAATGTCAGCTGCGCACCAGTCGCCTAGAGGGCGCCAGTTGCGCTCCATCTCGAGTGGAATCAATTTTGCTTTGTGCCAACTTAGTGAAGGGTTTAGGGAAAGGCGCAGCAACTATTCGGTTTGGAAATATTCGTCCAAAACCCACTGTTCCCACACACTATTGACGAAGTATCCAATTCCATGGTAGCATTGTTGTGAGCCAAGCAGAAGACAATCGGCAACAATTTATTATCGCATGAATACAGCTCAAGTTCGTCTTCTATCTCCGCTCCTTTTAATTTATTTATTTGTTTATTTATTTACAGTACTCTCAAGGCCGTGAGGCGTTAGGGAGTGGGTATTACCATATTGCTGAATCACTTCGCGAAATGCGGCGGAGTCCTCGATGGCTGCGATGTCACCGGGAAGGCGTTTTGATGTGCTCTGGAAAAACATCGCGGCCGGGCTATTTTTTTTAGGACGATCTAGGCTAGAAGACGAATAGGTTGGCGGAGTGAGACGAGTCTGATGTAGTACACTCTAAAAAATGCCCGTGCGTCTGCTTTCCCGCACAACACTCGGAGAGCCAATCAGCGCAACTTACGGAGGCAGCTCAGCGAATGACGATGCCGAAACATGTTTAGACCAAAAAACGCAGTCTGAGTTGTGACATTAATGGCGAATTCCACCGGTCGTCTTGGAGCGCGCCGGGATCGACTTTTCTGGAGCGAGCCTATTTCACTGGGCGATCGGGATCGAAACCGACGTGTTTCACTGGTCGTTTTGGATGAGCTCCCGCTCCAATCTCGATCTGGATCCGAGAAAAGTTGCTCCCACGATTTCGGCCGATTCAACCGGAAGCCAGCCGGGCCAGCCCTCGGCGCACACACCTGACTTCCTTTCTCGTGGGGCATCTCGCCTGATCTCGCCCACCTTGCCTCGGAAGAAGAAGAAGCACGTCGCGGGCTGGGGTGCTATGTTGCGCTTTTTGCACTCCCAGGAGACTTGGAAGAGGGAAGTGACGTCAACGACTAGAGCAAATGCAGATTGGATGTTGACAGAAGAAAACAAAATCAACATCCAATCTGCATTTGCTGCGTTGTTGACGTCACTTCCCTCTCCCTAGTCTCCTGGGAGTGCAAAAGGCGCAACATAGCCCCCCTGGCCTCCTAGATTGTCTCGACATCAGAAGAATTCGTAATGGCCGCTTGCTTACCCCTTGGCTCGACAGCCGGTTCATTTTCCAGGAAGGAGAAGAGAATGTATTTGCCGCGCTACGGGCATTCCGGCAATCTTTGCTAGAAGCGCCTGAGCCATTCCTGTCGCTCGTGCGTCGGACATGTGTTAGCGCCGCGATTGCGAAAACGTCTCCGAAACGACCGCGGCGGCCGCGGAAAGGGGATTCCCGGGCAGTTGAATGACGGGGAGGCATCCGCCGATCCCGGAGCAGTGGTCATGCTCCACCGGGGATCCGTAGGCGGTGCGACCCCGTTTGGATCGTGTGCTCTAGTCCGGATCTGGTCAACTGATCCCGGCGCGCTCCAAAACGCCCAGTGGAATTCGCCATAAGCAATGCAAAACGTCACGCTTGCATTGCTTAATGTCACAACTCAGACTGCGTTTTTTGGTCTAAACATATGTTTCGGCGTCGTCATTCGCTGATCTGCCTCCGTAAGTTGCAGTGATTGGCTCTCCGAGTGTTGTGCGGGAAAGCAGACGCACGGGCTTTTTTTAGAGTGTAGGGGCGAGTGATAGACTTTATGCAATGGGCACAGACGAAAAAATTTCCGTCGGGTAGCAAGTAAGGGAAGAGAAAGGTCAGATTTCATTCGAGTAACACTAGAAAAACGTGAGTAGTCAGATTGAATGAACCGGGCAGCACGGTTTTGGACAGCCTCAATACTGTCTGTTAGTGAAGAAAGGTGAGGGTGCCAAATGGGAGGATGCATACTCTAATTTCGATCGTACTAAGAAAATGTAAAGGAGTCTCTTTAGGTTACTTGGGAAAGTTGGGACAGATCTGAAGTTGCGACGGAGGTAACCTAGGCTTCGGTTAGCAGCAGACACCGCTGAATTAATATGACTGTCCCAAGAGAGGTTTGTAGTTAGAAGAACACCAATATACTTGTATGTGTCAGTTTGTTGTAGAGGAACAGCATTAAGAGTAAGAGGAGAGGAAGTTTGGAAGTTAGAACGAGAGAAGCGCATGTGTATATATTTGTTAACGTTGAGGGACATTTGCCAATTACTACACCATTTATTAATAGAGTCAAGGTCATCTTGTAGCGCTGCAGAATCAGAGGGAGATGCGATTTTACGATAAACGACACAGTCATCTGCAAATAAACACATTGATGAAGACTCCTGAAGTGGAAGGTCGTTGATGTAAATAAGGAAGAGTAGGGGACCAAGGACTGTTCCTTGGGGCACACCGGATGTTACAGGGGCCAAGGCAGATGAAGAGTCGTTAGCATAAACAAACTGGTTTCGTTGCGAGAGGAAAGTTTAATCCATGAGAGTACGTTGGTGTCAAGGTTTAACGATGAAAGCTTTTTAGTAGCAGTTGGTTATGCGGTACTTTGTCAAAAGCTTTAGCAAAATCAAGAAATACAGCATCGGTTGGAAAATCGGAGTCGAGGTTAGAAAAACGGTCATGGGTTAAGCAAAGAAGCTGTGTTTCACAAGAAAAGTTTCTACGGAAGCCGTGCTCTGCCTTGTTAAAAAAAGAAATGGAATCAAGGTGAATGGATAGATTCTTATGGATTATGTGCTCCAGTATTTTTGAAGGTATAGAAGTAAGACAGATAGGCCTATAGTTTAAGGGAGATGATTTATTACCGCTCTTGTGGACCGGGATGACTTTTCCGATCCTCCAATCGTCAGGAACTGCCGCTGTATTCGAAGTCTGCTGAAAAATTTTGGTTGAAAAAAGACTCGACGAACACACTGTGCGCTGCAGTATATTAGAGTCAATGTTGTCGACGCCACAGGATGAAGACACTTTCATAGATTTAATAATTTTAACAATACCGTCCAAATCACCATATATTGGATCCATATAAAGGAGGTTGTTAGCAACGGTTGGCAACAATGCTAAAGGACTTGGGATGGTGAACTGAACAAAGAATATGCTATTTAAAACTGAAGCACACTGACTCGCCTCTATTTTGTTTTTAAATTCATCTTCCAGGTTAAGTGGCGAGCGTGGAGTATGGTTAACAACTTGCCAGAATTGGCGAGAATTATTGAGTAGCAGGGATGGGAGGGTTTCCTGGTCGAAAATACGTTTCTGTTACGCAAGCATGCGTTTGTACTCATTTGCGCATTCATTATACCTGTCCCAAGATTCAGTGGTGTTATTATTTTTGGCTGTCCGAAAACGGCGTTTTTTCTTATTGTTGAGTATTTTCAGCGAGCGCGAGTATCAGGGGTTAGAAGATCGGGGACTTAAGGTGGTGCTTGGGACATGTATTTCAACAAGTTCTAATAATTTGTTCTTAAATTTACACCAGTTTTCGTTCACATCCTTACTATCGAATTCATCTAAGAAAACAGAGAAGTAATTTGAGAGGTTCATGCTAAACTGCTCATAATTTCCTTTGTTATGTAGCCTTATCGTTTTAACAAGTCTTATACGTTCAGGTGCTCCAAATGCTAGGTCACAATGCACTGCCTTGTGATCACTTATGCCTTCGGATCTAGACAGCGGCGAGACACACTCAGGTTGATTCGTTAATACGAAGTGTAATATATTTGAGCACACGTCATTTACACGCGTTGGAAAAGAAACCATCTGGGACAGATTAAAATCTAAACAAAGTTTAACAAACTCATGACAGTCACTGGTACCATGAACACTATCTTAAACAGGCGAATTCCATTTAATATCGGGGAAATTAAAATCGCCAAATAAAAGAACAGGATAGTCAGGAAGTTGCACACATAAAGCGGACAGCTCGTCATGCAAAGAAGGCACAAAATTAGATGACACATCGGGTGGCCTGTAACAGGCGCCAAGTAAGATGGTTTAAACTGCAAGAC